GATAGTACAGAAGAGAACATTACGATCATCACAGAAAGTTGTAATGGATAGTGCTACTTTCCCAGTTGCCTTTAAGATGAATTCCAAAACCCTCTGATGGCCTTCAAGATTCCAGGTCATCCATCTATTACAGCCATTACCTACTCCTCCAGCCTCACGTCTGTCCCCTACCCCCCTGGCAGTTCTTGAACTGTGAAGCTCAGAGCCTTTGCATGTTCTGCTCCCCTTGCCCTACTCTTCACTGGGCTAACCAGTTATTTTTTGGATCTTGGTTTAAATGTCGCCTCTAAGAGAGACCTGCCTTGCCCGCTACAATCGAAGTTATATTCTCCTTTTGTATGCTTTCTTGTACCCTCTACTTTTTTCTTCTTCTTCTTTTTTTTTTTTTGAAGATTGGCACCTGAGCTAACAACTGTTGCCAATCTTTTTTTTCTCCTCCTCAAATCCCCCCAGTACATAGTTGTATATTTTAGTTGTGGCTTCTAGTTGTGGCATGTGGAACGCCATCTCAGCATGGCCCAATGAGCGGTGCCACGTCTGTGCCCAGGATCTGAACCAGCAAAACCCTGGGCTGCCGAAGCGGAGCACATGAACTTAACCATTTGGCCATGGGGCTGGCCCCTACTTTTTCTTCTTAATATTCATGTGTTTATTTATTTAATGTCCATCTCCCTAACAGACAATAAACTTCTTGAAGGTGGGGATAGTGATCCTTTCACCATCGAACCCCCGATACCCAGTACAGTGCCTAGCTTGGGGTAAATGCTGTGTAAATATTAAAATTGTAGTATTTTGAAAGTTATAGATCCTCTTGGGAGCCGCATATGTGTTGGTGAGTGTGTGAAAATTTCATCAAAAGAGGCACAGTTTTAAAAACAATAAAAAATCCCTGAATATTAGGGAAATAGTTATTTATGGTGTTTACTTGGTGCTGGGAGTAGGACTTCTAGGATGCTAATTTTACAAGGGTGTTTTGGACCTGGAAAAGTCAACTGGTTTTAGGATTACCATCTTGACTTTGGTGTCCATGTAGTTGGGGGTAAATGAGGCCGTAAATTAAAGCTGAATAATTTAAAGTTGGTGGATGAAAGGGACAGGCTGGACTGGGACAGCCCTAGGGTATGGCAGGCCACTGAACTGGGCTTTTGGTGGCCTGGGCAGGCTGATGAGACAGCTGAGGTGGTGACAAGGTGATCTGGTCTTTCTTGTTGTATTTAAACACCCAGGTAGGAGAGGCTTGGGCCCAGCGCTTCGTACTTTCCAGAGGCCTTTTGAAAAATTTTGAGTGAGTTTCTTAAGACAATCCCTATTCTTCTCCTCCTGCCTTTGTAACCCTTCCCTCAAGAAAAAAAAGAAAGAAAAGCAAAGAAACAAATTGGAGTCCCCAGAATGAGGCCTGACTTTGGCTTCTTATCCCAGCTGTCTCTCGCCGCTTCCCGTGGGGAGTGGGAAGGAGTCTGTTCTAAGAATTGCTCTTTCTGGCCTCAGTTTGGAACTGTCTCTACCCCCAGCATTCTAGAGTTGATCTTGGATCATTGACTGCTTTTGCGGTCTTTTGAAAGGATTTTAATAATAAACAACATTACCATCAAAAAACAAAATTTAACAAATTTGTTATCAAGATTTCAGGTATTATCCAAAAACTTAGAAAGGTAAAACCTCCCTCTGCCCATTCAGCTGCCCCCGGGGCCCACCCGTTTGTAGATTTTGCTCTATTCCTGTAAGTCAGTTATAAAATTTCATGTGTATATATACCATGAGTAATAAAAACCACAACAACGTGGATCTGTTTTGTTTCAGATTTGCTTGTTTCAAGATCTACTCAGTGGATTTGCATTTTTCGTGCGTCCATTTTCTTGGGTGTGGCTAGGCAGCCCATGACGCCTCCTAACAACTGGACCTTGAATTCTGTAGGGACGTAGTGAAACTGACTGACAGCCAACACTGCAGCTGTGAAACTGTCTCTAATCTTTCAGCTTTCGCACCACTAACGAAACTGAAAGTGCAGGGGAGTGAGTGCCCAGTGCCAGCCAGAATATCATATACTGCAGCCACGTGACTGGGTGCTGACCTGTTAGCCTCTGTGTTGGCCCCTCAGAGGTAGTTGAGCTCCTAAAGTCAGGCTAGCTAGGTTTGGATTCCAGCTCTACCGCTGTCCATGGGACTATGGCAAGCAGCTTAACCTCTCTTTACCTCGGTTTCCCTATATGTCAAATGGGGGCACAGTCATGCTTACCTTATGGGGCTTCTTGTAAGAATGAAATGACACGATTGCTACAAAGCACATGGTAGGTGCTCAGTACATATTAGCCTTTAAGGATATTGCCATTATGGTAAGTCATTACCACTTGTATTTAACAATTTCATCCTATAAATAGACTGCCTAGCTGTTAAAAAAAAAAAAGACTCAACAACTGAGCCCTCTGTGTTCTAAGGCAGAGAGATAAAGCTTTCTTCCCTATGATGAGAATGTAGCTGTCAATAAATCCTATTAAAAAGCAAAAAGCCTTCTGTGTGGTTGGCAATCCCCTTTTCCTGTGATGTGATTGAACCAAGAAAAAGCAGAAACATGAGTGGATGAACACACTTGACGTTTGCTAACATAGCATTAAGGGCTCACTCTTGGTTTCCAGAGGAGTAGGAAGAAAACCAAAAATTCTGACGTGAATAGTTTTTATTGTATTTGTAAATACAGTGGAAACGTTTTGTGTTTGAATTCTTTAATTAAGCCCTTAAGGGTCTTGTTTTAATAACATTTGTGGTCTGATTATTAAGGCGGTATATTGTAGAGCAATTGGAACTTCAGAAAAGCACAAGGAGGAAAATTGAAACCCTGCCTAATCCCAGTGGTGCGGCTGTTATTTTGGTGTATTTTTAATACATTATATGTGTTTAAAATTTAATTTGGGATTGTATGCCCTTTTATGTAGCCTGTGTTTTTCATTTACTGACTTAGCCTGTCATTAAATGTTCTTTTACAAAATGGTTTTTAAAATAATTGTCCGATGTTCTACCACATGGATGTTTTATAACTGATTCAAATCCATTATGCATTGTGGAACGTTTAGGGTTATTTCCACTTTTTCACTGTGGCAAATATCCATGAAGCTGAATCTGTCCATGATGTAGTATATTTCCCCTTTAAGCAGTGTATGACAGCCCCCAACATTTGGGGTCATCCTTTTAAGTATTTTCCAGTGTTTCCACTTCGTTGTTTTAATTCTTACTTTCTTTGCTCACTAGTGAGGGTGATCCTGTTTATCCATTCCCCACAGATTTAGCCATTACTTGTATTTTTTTGTGAATTGTCTGCATAGGACCTTACACATTTTGCACGGGGTGTTGGTCTTTTCTTGCAGTGGAAAGGTATTTATAAAGGAGGAGTATTAACCCTTTGTCAGTTGTTACAGCAATTTCCTTTTTCTAGTTGTCTGATCATGGCCAGTTTAAAAAATATTTATTGGACGTATGGCTGACAATATGCAAAGGAGAAACATGTTTTTATTTTGTCATCAATTAATTTTTGAATTTTTTTTCATGTTCTCCTCAGTCATCTCTGTAAATGTGAGCTATAGAATTGAGAGATTATTTAATGAAAAGTATAGGTGGAATTTCATGCTCTGGCTCATTTGAGAATCCTGTGCTTCATTCTGATACCGCTCTGCCTGAGGAATGTGGTGCAGTTCAAAAACCCCAGTCCCAATAAACTCATATGGCTTTAAAATAAGCCACCACTTATGTCTGCTTGGATCTGCTTCCCCTGTCCCAAAACCCCTCACCAAAATTTAAAATGATAAAAGTAATAACAGTTATTATCTATCCAAAAATTGCATTGGTTAACAAGACCCCAATAGGTTGTATGACCCTACAGGAACATGGCATATGTAAACACCTGAATTGTCCTCCCCACTGCCTTGCCTTTCCCGTTGCCATCTTGGGAGGAGAAAATCCTAAGGGACATGGCTTCTGACCCCCGCCTTTCCCTGCCTCATGGACAGCTGCTTCTTGAGGCTTTCCAGGGTGCTCTCCTCTCTCTACCTTTGTTCAGCAAACATTCCTGAGGTCCTTCAGGTAGGCAGGGCTCCAGGCGCTTATCTCCGACTACCTGGGCCACACCAGAGAGAATCAGTTACAGGTAGCTTCTCTGGGTCTGGCTGGCATTCAAATCAGTTATACTGCAAATATTTAAGTATGCCTGGCTACAAAAATGATCAAAACAGAAGTCGTGACCTGAAAGAAGCAGGTGCTTCTTGGAGGGCACAGACAAGTCAGCAGGCAGTGGCAGATTCAGGGACAAATACTCGGAGGCTTATTTGATAGTGTTTTAGGAAGGAGAGGAGGGCGGGAGAGGCAGTGGTTGTGGCCCTGTGCCTAGCCCCTTGTGTGTTGAGGCCTTTAGAAATGCACGTCTCATCCCCCTCCCACCTTCTAAGAGAGTGGAAGGACCATCATCTGAGTTTTGCTCGTACCAATAGGTGATGTGGTACAGTGGTTAAGGCAGAAATTTGGAATTGGAGTCAGAACCCAAAAATGCCATTAGCAGATGCTTAGGCATGTGACTTGAAGCCCTTTGAGCCTCAGTTTCCTCATCTTAACAGTGGGGACAATGCTTCCTTAGGGGAGGTAGTGATGGGTAAATGAGAGAGTAGTAACAGTACCAGTTATGGGAATAGCTGCTGCTTCTCGAGCGCATACTACCTGCCAGGTTTATATTGGCTCGTGCATGGAAGCAGCCCCCTCGCCCAGTGCCTGGCTGATCATTAACACAGAATAAATGGAACCATTCTGGCTGCTGCCCCTGAGGTCAGAAAAGAGCTGGGGAAGAAATGGTCTCAGTCTGGTCCCCTGGTGGTGAGGGGTGTTGTCAGGGTGTGCCCTCTGCAGGGGGTGGGGCCAGAATGAACAAACTGTCTCTGCAGACTCTCAGCAGGGCAGATGTGAAGGCGGACGTCATGCCTCATGCAGCCCTGGCAGCGAGCCTTTCCTCCTTCTCCTCACAGGATGGACCCGAGAGCTTACGCTGAGCTGTTGAAAGTGTCCGGCAACCAGGTTCTTAAGAACGGGAAATTCTCTTTGGCCATCAAAAAGTACGACGAAGCCATCCACATTCTCCTGCAGTTATGCCACTGGGGGTAAGTGGATTTGTTTTTGTTTTAAAAGTAAATGGGGACTCACTTTGTTGCTTATGCTTTCTTCTAATTTCTTATCACACCACGTAGTTTCTGTTTTCTTTCTCTGCCATTTCCTGTTTGGCTTCTCTGCCTCCTCAGCTCAGAAACTGAACAGAGAAGAGTAGAGTAATAAGAGAAATGGAAAGTGAAACACGGGACTGTTCATAAACATTGCAAAACTTCCCCTTCTGTCTGATTATGGGATTGGAGTCCCTGGGATGATCGAAGTCCCCAAACCTCTCATTTGTCATTCATTTCATTTTCTTGATTATCTATGCCATTTACTCCCTGGCCACAGTGCACACCCCTCAGGAACTAAGGCCACCTCTTCTCCTGACCCTTCGAGTAAAGGCTTATGGAGGACCCCAAAGGGCTTTTGTTTATGTAGGTTGTAGCTATCAATATAGTGTATTAGAACTTAAAACAGAGAAAAATTTTAAATATGTATTCATTCATCCATTTAAAATATCATGATAAACCCATTACATGTTAATGTAAGTTACATATTTTTATGAAAAATGGCTATATTTTCTGAAACTAAAAATTTAGTGGGAAGAGTGGCACATTTTACATTTTTGCAAATCTCTTTAGTGTCTGTCTCAATAGAAGACATCTGGCTTCTCACATCTGCTTCTGTGTTCAATCTGTTGTGATATCACATGTCATATAGCCTCTGGAAAATTCCCCACACACATGTGAGAGAATGAGTGTGAAAAAGACACAGAATGCCTTAGTATTATTGTTGTATTGGTTTTCTGTTGTCACTATAACAAATTGCTACAAACTTAGTGGCTTAAAACAATACAAATTTATCTTACAGTTCTGGAGGTCAGAAGTCTGAAATAAATCTCACGAGGCTAAAATCCAGGTGCTGGCAGGGCTGGTCCTTTGCGGAGGAGAATCCATTTTCTTGCCTTTTTCAGCCTCAAGTGGCTGCCTGTCTTCCTTGGCTTGTGGCCCCTTCCTGCATCTTCAAAGCACATCGTTCCAGCCTGCTTCTGCCATCACATCTCCTCTGCTATAGCGATGGCTCCCTCTGTCTCTCTCGTAAGGACCGTTGTGATTATATCATAATCCAGGAGAATATCTTCTCAAGATCCATAAGTGAATCACATCTGCAAAGCCCCTTTTTTCATAAATGGTAACATTGTCTGGGGACCATTATTCAGCCTGCCACCATTGTGAAAATATTTTGACGTTGTGGACCACTTGAAACGGTCTTGGGGATCCCCAGAGGTTCCCAGATCATACTTTCAGGACAACTGTAATAGAGGAAGCAGAGGATGGCATTTGGGGGGTGCATGCACCCTAAACTTGTACTGAGAAATGACATCAAGTTAAATTCCTGAGCCATGGCTCCCACCTGCTACCACCTATCACCTTGTGTCTATACTCTAGCTGGACTTGAGTGTAATTGGTTTGGGTCTGTAATTGTGCCTCCTGGTTCAGACCGGAACTGTGTTAGAGCTGGGCCTGGAGCTCCTCGTTCAGGGCAAAACATTCGACTTTCTTAATGAGGTAGTGTTGGATGGTAGTTACGGCCATAGACCAACCCCACACTGAGTGCTCAAATCTCAGCTCCACCACTTACTAACTGTGTGACCACTAATGGGACTTCTGCTTGGGCCCTTGCATGTTGCCTTTCATGGACTTTCCTGACACTGTTCCCTTGCCCATCACCTGCTGCCTGCTTTCTTGCCGCTGCCAGCTGGCAGAGGGATTTAGGTGCATGTGTTTACTGAGCAAGTGCTCTCATGAGAAGAGACTGAGGGAAGCAGGATGGGGCAGGGGAAGCCTCCAAGCAGGGAGTATCTCAATGGGGTCAGTTTCAGCCTGATCCCCTGGGGAGCTCTGGAGCATGAGTTGTACTGCAGAGCTGGTCCCACTTTGTGGCACAGGGCTGACCTTTTGATTCCTATGTCAGTCATTCGTTGGTTGTAGGCCATCTGACCCTGTGAGTTGTCCTAGGGAGTGGGGCTGAATTGATTAGCTTGGGCTCCATAACAAAATACCATAAACTGAGTGGAAAAACAACAGGAATTTATTTCTCACAATTCTGGAGGCTGGAAAGTCTGAGATCAAGGTGTTGGCAAATTCAGTTCTTGGGAAGAGCCCTCTTCCTGGTTTGCAGGCAACCACCTTCTCACTGTGTCCTCACACGGAGGAGAGAGAGAGAAGAGGCAGCTCTCTGATGTCTTCTTACAAGGGCATTAATTTCATCATGAAGGCCCACCCTCGTGATCTCCTCTAAGCCTATTCACCTCCCCAAAGGCCTCATCTCCAAATACCATCACACTGGGGGCTAGGCTTCATCATATGAATTTAGGGGGACACAGTTCAGTCCATTGCAGGGGCATAACTTCCTGGGGAGAGGGCAGCTTCCTTTAGGCTGAGGATAAATCTTTGGAGAACAGGGCACTAGGACCCCCTAGCTGCAGCCAATAGTTACTGCAGCTGGGGATGGCTGCCCCAGGCAGGGTATGTGGGCTGGACACTTGCAGTTACAGCTCCCTTGCCAATCACCCTCCGACTGTGCTCCTGGGGCCTCATCCCTCAACCTAGAGGGAGTGATGGGCAGTGAGAGAAGCTGGACACAGAAAGCATTGAGGATGGGGACAGTAGCAGAGGTGGTTTTTACTTTGCTTTATTTTTGTGCTTCTCTGCATCTCCTAACTTTTCTATAGTGATTTGTATTCTTTTCACAATTAAAATATTCAATAAAAAAAGAAACTTAAGCCTTGCTTTTCCCCCTCATGTGTCTTGAATTCAGTGGCACCTGGGCTTCTGTTGACATATTGTGGTATATTTTACGTTTTCTTCCTTCTTCTGACCTGGTTTCAGTACTAACCTTGCAGTGTATTAGCAGAGCCTCTGCCTCCCCCTGCTGTGTTTTAGAGGGTCCCCCTGAGACTCCCCCAGCTGTGCCCCTCTCCACAGGCAGGAGTCTGTCAGGCCAGGGGCTTGACCTACCCAGAGCCCTTGCCTCCCCTTTGGTCTGCACCGTGGGTACCAAGACCCTGGAAATCCTGCCCTTAGACCCTGCTCCCAGGGCCTGCACAGGCCTCCTATCCATGGCCCACTCTTCTGAGGGCTGGCCAAGCTCAGGGGTGTGGACAGAGATTGGAATTATGCCTCCTGCCATGCAGGATGATGGCTGAGGTGGAAAGAGAAGAGGGAGCAGGCAGGGGCGCAGGTCTGGCTCACCCTGCCCTGACACAGTGCCTGCAGTTCTCAATTTGAAGCTTGCCTTCCAGGTATTATAAAGTAAGAGGATAGAACCTATTTTATTGAACACTTTTTGAGCTGGATTCATGACCTTCAAATACTAAGGCTAGCTCAGTCCAATAGGACTTTCTGTGATGATGAAAATGTTCTATAATATAGAATTTAGCTGTTGAGTACTTGAAATGTGGCTAATACAACTAAGGAACTGAATTTTAAATTTTGTTTAATTTTAATTAATTTAAATTTGAATAGCCACAGGTGGCCAGTGGCTACTGTTTTGGACAGTGCACATTAGCCAAATGGTGGTTGGGCCCCCATGTGCACTCTGGCACTGGGTCCTACAAATGTTAGGTGGCCTGCCTATGTTCTAGGACTGTGCTCATCCTGTACCTCTCACGCTAGGTCCGTGGGGGTGCTGTGGTCACGTGTTCTGAAAGCCCCTTTCCATGGTAAGCTCTGCATCTGTTCAGCGTGAACATGCATGTGGAGTGACACACAGTGTGTTCGGACTCTGCTGAGGCTTGGTGGGAACTCCCATCCTCTCCATCCTTAGGACCAGTCACCATCTTCCCAGCATGTCTATCAGTGGTCTCTAAAAGATGAAAAGATCTGGAGAGATCAATTCGAGGTGGAACCATGGTGTTGTGAACACTCATCATTAAGAGGGGGAAGCAGAGGATTTGGGAAGGATGAAGGACAGATTTGTGCATTGCACATGCCCCAGGCTTTCTAAGGGGCTAGAGGCTCAGATGTGATGGGCATAACTTGGACATTTCCTGCTGAAACCCCTTCATGATGGCAGCAGCCAGCACCAGAAATGGTGGCCTTTAGGGGTGATTTTCTGTATTTGCAGAAAGATAGCTTTACTGACCACCAGTTTGTTCTTTCTCGCAGGGTTCCCCCCAGGGATGTGGCTGTCCTGCTGTGCAACAAATCCAAAGCGTTTTACTGTCTTGGGAAATGGAATGAGTCGTTTATGGCTGCCGAGGCGTGTCTTGAGTGGGATCAAACCTACGTGAAGGTATGGTGACACTGGGGCCTGCTGCCTCCTTCCTCTTAACCTGCCTCTTTCCCTTCCTTCTTTTTAGAATGGAAAGGCTAAGAGTGCTTCTCATTCAACTTTCTGCACCTCAGATAGATGCTCACAGGGCATGTGAGCTGTATCTGGAGAAGAGTAAAACCAGTGATGGCCAAGTGTTGAAATGCCCGTGTAGGGTAGAGCAGAGCTGGGCCTCGTGGTGGATGGAGTGCTGTGGAGTCACGTGGAGTCACCATGGAGCTCCTTTTTGTTCTGTAGTTACACCAAAACTCATAGTCTCTTCATGGTCTTTGCTGTTTGCAAGTTTCATTTTAGCAAAGCTTTATTTCAAATGCAAGCTGGGTGGACAACATGGCACCGATTCTTCAGAAAGCATCCTTACGGTAGAAGTCAGCCCCTTTGGCGGGATCAGGGAAGTCTGAGAACCCTTTAAGCTGTGAACAAAAGTCAGTAAATGATCATTTGATTGTGTTTTCAGCTAACATGCTCTGGCGCCCACTCCGCCAGGCACCTTCACCTTCTTGGTGCCTCAAGGCAGACAAAAGGAGTGAAAGGCACCATCCCAGCCCTGTACTAATTCACAGGCAAGCTGGGGGAGGAACAGCATGTGCACAATCAGAGGCCTTAAGTTAAATTGCAGTTCTGGAGCTATCTGAGGCAACACACAATTAACTGTCAACGTAGTGGCATAGACGGTTTATAGAGGAGCTCTGCAATAAAGTGGGAAAGGCACAGCGTTTTTTCTCTCTGCTCTGCTGTGTACTGGCTTCAACAACTTGGATGAGTTACTTTTCCCTCTATAAAGTTTCATTTCTGTAGGAGAAATGTGTGCTAATATCTTTGTCTTAGAGTTGCTTCAAGGACTAAGGAGCCACTAAGTAAGGTTGTTGGCACTCAATAAATAGGAGTTTGTATTATATCCTCAGTGGTCTACATTTCATGTGTGACTACTAGAAACAGAACACAGTGGGAAGTGGGTGAGGAGGTCTCACCTACAGATTACTACAACCTGGAGGAAGGGGTTTGTGGATTTTACATTAAACCTCTTCTATTGGAGGATGGATACTTTAGAAGTTATTGAATAGTTTTGAAAATGGGAAAGCATTTCTGAGGAATTTTCCCTGAAAGACATCTTAGGATTTTCCATCCCCCAAGTAGGATAAGGGAGGAAGTTGGGAGGGTTTGCCTGCATCCCTGAGGCGGCAGCTGTGGCTGTGGCCCCAGGGTCTGAGGGGGTCCTGGATGATGCTCCCTGATTCTTCCTTAAGTGGCCAAACTTGTAGCAGCCCCTCACAGCCCAACAACCAGGACCACTCCCCCATTCTTACCTGGAGGTCCTGGGGGTCTTCCTCCTCCATTCTTTCTCCCTGCCCCAAATGTCCTCTGTAGGGGAGGAAGAAAAACCTTTTCCTCTACCCTATTTTGGTTCAGTGGCCAGGGCCCTGCAATTAAACTGATGAGAAAAATTAACAAGAGAAAAGCGTAGAAATTTTATCTGATGTTAATTTTTATGTGGCGCAGGGGCCTTCCTAGAAAAGAAGTGAAGACCCTAAAGAAGCAGGTAGGCCTGAGAGCTTATATGCCATTTTTAACAAAGAGCAATAAATGGTGGAGACGCAAAGACAAAGGGAAGGGTTTTTAGACTTCTAGGGCCTACAGACTGTGAGAAGGTAAATATATGGGGAAACTAATGGAAGATAAGGGGTATCTTAGCAGTTTGTCTGTGCTAGTCCATCTCAGTGCTGGCTTTCCATCTTCTTCATGGCCATAAAAATTCCCCGGGAGAGAGGATTTATGGCAGCCCTCATTTCTTAGAGTTTCTGCTTTTAGTCGGATAAGAGAAGCTCCGGGAAGGCGTCTTTCTGCATCTGTTGAATCTCAAATGCCTTCAGCTCAAAATAATCCTTACGCCAAAATGTCATTTTTTGGGGTGGCGTCTTCTGAGCCCCTCACCCCCCTTCAAAATAAGAGATGAAAGAAACTTACATCTGAGGAAGGCAAAGAAGTGAGGAATTCTGTAACAGCTTGCCTGGTTGGGGGAAAAAACACATTTTTCCCCCTTTTCTGATTCTTTGCTAAGGTTTTAGACTTTCAAGTGAAGGTTAAAACACGTCAATAAATAATCAGAGATTTGATGTTAAGTGGAATTTTCAAGTGCTTGCTTTTTATATGAACCCTGTTGGTGAACACCTTCTGTTGTCTTAGACAGAAATTATTTTGGTAGATTCTGATGCCAGTTTATTTAGATGATCAAAGTGGACAAGGCAGTAAGTATCATTTTGTTTCTACTCAAGACTCATACAGTTTGTAGACAGGCAAAACTGGACCACTTTCCTCTATTAATCATTGTAATTTTCCTCTCCCTACAGAAATCAAATTTTTTTTTGCCTCTGATGTATATTGCCTATAATGTGGAGCTTGGCTAATCTCAATGCTTGTCCTTACAATTGTTTCCCCTACATACCCAGTGGAAATTGTGTTTACTTTGATTGAAAGGGAGAGGGAACAACTTCTGTATTTTCATGACAATCTCACTCTTTTCTGGAACACTGCCGTCATGGGTGTTTTTCATTCCTCTTTTCTTGCCCAGGCTGTGATTCGAGGCGTGAATAAGTAAACTGCACATGTAAAATTGGAACCAGGCCCACCTCCTTCTCTCCATGTCATATGTCAGATGCTTTATAAGTCCTGGATTGAAAGTGATTATTTTCTTGGCAGTTAAAAAAGGATGGTAAAAATGTGTCACAGAATGTAGTGTGGAAATCCTGTATCCAGTGCTTGTTAGGAACCTGTGTTTATGTAGAAGTGAGACTCCTCGATTCCGTTTCTCCAAGTCGCCAATCTTGCTTTCCTTTCAGCAGCAGGTTAAAAGAGATGAATGTGCTACGGTTTTGGTTTTCTTCTGTTCCAGGGCTACTACCGAGCTGGGTATTCCTTGCTGCGGTTGCTCCAGCCTTATGAAGCCGCTCGCATGTTTTTTAAGGGTCTGCAGCTTCTGCAGGGCAACCAAGACCAGATCCAGGTTGCTGACTTCCTTGTGGGAATCTTCAACACCACGGACAGTAAGCCACAACTGGGGAAGCATTCTTTCTTTCTTCTTTTCTTTTTTTTAAGGTCCTTGTTAGTTTCCTTGGATGGCTCCTGGGGACTCTGGCTCCTGGGGACTCAGGCTCCTGGGGAGATCATTCTGGGGTGTTTCTTTGTGGCTGATGGTTGTAGTTTAAATCAAACTGATTTTCGCAATAGAAAGCCTTTTGGAAGCTTTGGTGGCACATGCCTTGTAAAAAACTAAGTCCTTTTGCACAAATCACTTAAAGCTTTCCTAATTTTGTTTCAGACTTTGTTTTCTGTGGTGCTATTCACAGAGCTTTCCCTACTTATACTACTTGTTTTATGTGACTTTTTGCTCTCTCCTGTGATTTTTTGTATGTATTTCTCAAATATGTCGAGAAAATATTCTTGTTTGCTATGAAAATAACGTGGAAGGGCTGATGGAGAGTCCTGTGAAAGCTGACAATAGGTGCTCAGTGTGGCGGCTGCGATACTCATGGCAGCAGAGGATGCGCACACTCGTCTGGGAGTGACACATGGGGGCCTTTTGCATGGCTCATTAGATTATCACTCTAATGACCTGGCTGTGAGATGGCTTTGTCCATGGGCTGGATTAGCCAAAACAGAAAACCATAAAGCACAATATAATATACTCCTTACCAGTGACAAAGGAGCTCTTTCTCTGGTTATCTTAGCGCAGTCTGAAATTCCACCGCTAATCAGGCCATTGTTCTCAAATATTGTGTTTGATCACATTTAAGATTGCACTGTTTCAAGATGTGCTGTTAATTTATGTTCTGCTATTGAGAGGAAACATCGATTGTAACACCTGTCCCTGTTCTAGAGATGTTAGAATGTGAAAAACGGCACATGTTAGAATTGCTGAAAAATGGTCTTTGGCTTTCAGAAGTGGGGAAATCACAACTGGCAATAGATTCAACTCTCATAGATCCAACTGTTCCCATTGCAATTGTGGGAAAGCAACTTCTGTGGCCTGTGGCTGGACTCCTACAGACTTTTGCAAGTTTGGCACAGAGTGGGGGTAAGAGCAGTATCAGGCAGTGAGTAGAAGGGGCCTAGAGGTGGGGACAGCCTGTCTCTTAGTCAGAGAAGCAGAAGGTCCCCAGACAGGTGCTGAAGGGTTGCAGCTCTCTAGTTAGCCTCTTGCTGTGACTGAAGCCGACTTTCCTTTCCTCTGAACCTGATGGCCTGGCCCGTTCTCTATACTTCCTTATTGTCTTGTCTGTGTCTTTTAAAAGTCACTGTTCTGTCAGAAGCCAGGGCAGAGCTATGGGAATTCCAAACAACTAATTCTTGGTGACTGCACCTTTAAGAAATCTGGATGGTTTCCCTTCTTGCCCCCATCCTGAGAGGGGGCAATTAACAGGACTTCTTGGGGTGACACATCCCTTATTTTGTAGGCAAAGCATTCCTGTTTGGAGGGTGAATGTCTGCTCATGGCCCAATTTCTAAATTTTGGAAAACAGATTTGTGGAAATTTAGTATCTTTTTGTACAATATATATTTGTTCTGGTATTTACTTATTTTTGGAAATTGATAACCCTCAAAGAGATGCCATGTTATTCTGGCACCTGACCCTTGAATGTTGTCATGCATGAGTTTGAGAAATGTGATTTGGAGGATCGTGAGATGCCATAGGCTGATGGGCCACTAAATGAGAAGAATGAGTATTGACTAAAAGAGTTGGTAGACCTGGTTTTTGTCATGAACCAACTGCATGATATGCCATGAAGCCTGACCTCGTTGTCATAGTTTCTCATCTGTTGGGTGAAAACAAAATTTGTTGTATCTTTCTTAAAGGAAGTAAAGTTTGTAACTTCCCTTAAGCTTGCATTTCTCCTCTGTAGATGGAAATAATAGGCACTGCCTTCTTGGTTTGTTTGAGGGATTAAATATAAACCCATATCAATGGGCTTGGCAAATAGAAAAGCTCAGTGAATGTCAGCTCACATTGATGCTGCCTAACTCTTAGGGGGTTGAGTTTACGGGCGCAGTTAAATGATTGCTACTTCAGTCAATTATATAGGACTTTGAAAATGCCTCCCTTTCTGATATCTTTAATTTACCATTTGTCTATATGTGGTCTTGAGTGGAGGATCTTTTCCTAAATGTTCTATACTTTGCCCAAGTTAAAATTTCTAAACAATGGAACTTTCTTTCAGATGACCCCATTGTTTTGCAAAGTTTCTTGCCCTACTTTGACCATATTTTCACTACTGGATTCTCAGCAGAAGTATGGCAATCTGTAATAGAAAAGTTGGCAAAGAAAGGCTTGTGGCACGTAAGTAAAAGGAGATGGCTCTCTTGTGGGGAAAGTACATTCTTGATTAAATGATTTCTTTCTGCTGGCACCGGGGGATTGTAATTTATTATTTGTTTATCTTGATACCAAAGTAACTTTTTAGCTGTAAAGTCATTAAAAATGGAAAGTCGCTGAGATGTACTAGGCAGTTTCCATTCTTTTTTAAGTTAGCGAAATTACTGTTTGTGGCAACCTCATCCCTTGCTCTGTGTCTATGTTGTCTTCAAAGAAATGTAAAGACCACATGCTAATGGGTAATGTGGCATGAGGAAAATAAACAGTTGCATGCTCATCTTCATAATCTTTGGCATGCTGCCTTTGCTAGTGTGGGCCCAGATGACCTGCCTGTGCCTCTCGGACGGTTTCCGTATAGCTTTAAGGGACCCACAGGTAGCAGTGAGGCTGTAGGACCCAAACCCGGGGCGAGGAATCCATAGAATGGAGGAGCAGAGTGGACTACGGAGCCTGGCTTCAGTGGCACACTGAATTCAGTGTCTCCTTGAATCCTAATCTTTCACTTTCTATTTTGGGCTAATTACTACTCCTGAGCCTCATTTCCTCATTTGTAAGTTGCAGGATATAAACCTATTCCCTCAGGGTTTTGGTGAGGATTAGCAGTAATGGCCCAAGAGCACCTAATAGCAGCTAATGTTTATTGAGGGCTTACAATGTGCCAGGCACTGAGCTAAAGGAGTTTAATAATTCCTGGCATATGCTAAGTCTCCAGTGAATAGTAGCTGTCATTGACGATGGCTTGTAAGTGCTCATGAGGATGGGCTGGCCAAGGCTGGGAGTTTGGTTAGAAAGGGCCTGGTGGGCTTTCTAAAGCTGGGCAGTCCATAAAAGTCACCCAAACCAAGGGCAACCCATTAGGACTCTAGATCCAGGCAGGCCGAATGAGCTTAGAATACAGAATTCTTTTTTTTTTTTTTTTTGAGGAAGATTAGCCCTGAGCTAACTACTGCCAATCTTCCTCTTTTTGCTGAGGAAGACTGGCCCTCAGCTAACGTCCATGCCCATCTTCCTCTATTTTATATGTGTGACGCCTACCACAGCATGGCGTGCCAAGGGGTGCCATGTCCGCACCCAGGATCCGAACTGGTGAACCCTGGGCCGCCGAGAAGCGAAACGTGCAAATTTAACCACTGCGCCACCAGGCCGGCCCCCAGAATTCTTAAATTTTTGAAAAGGACATGGATTCCATTGGAAATCCAATGAAATCAATGGGACTCCTGTTGCATAAATGCACAATTATGGGTATAGTTTCGGGGGTACATAGGAAATCTTCTAAAGTCCAGCTATGGGTTTCCTGAAGCTTATCCCCACATTAAAAGGTCTTGAGAAGGCAGGCAGCCAAGGGAAGGCCCTGGAATCCAGCCCAAGTGGCAGGTCCAATATTGTATCAGCAGTGGAGCCTAGGTCATTTTCAAATATTGGAGACAGAAGCATCTTGTAAATAAAAGCCAGGCCAGCAATCAGGACTGTCAGAACTCTGAATGTGTTATCTGGGATTGAGTATGGTCAGTGGGGCCTGTTTAGGGTGAGCAGTTAAGAGTGGACATCAAATTGAAAGATACTGGAAGCAAGATGTGGTCACAGGGTGCTACATCCACTGGTAAGAGCACACATGGTGGGGGTTGGTTCTGAGGTCGGGCTTCCAGTCATGGCCCTACCAGAGCCTGGAGCGCTTACATCTGTGGTGTACCTGGATGATCTCAACAGGGACCTCTCAGGATGCGCTGTGTGACCTAGGAAAAGTTGCTTAGCCTCTCTGGGATTCAGTTTCTTTAGTGACTTTAGATAGAGTCAGTGGTTTAACAACTGGCTCTCTGAGAAAAAAAGTCCCGATGTGTAGCATTTGCCAATTTCTCTAGCGTAAATACTCTCACCGTGGTCAATTTCAAGCTCCTAACATGACTACAGGACTTGGAATTGGGAGAAGATGTGCACAGTTCCCTCTCACTAGCTGATAGGAGCTGACTTTAGCACACCACTTGACTGGGTCTAATGGACCCCAAATACTTGGGGTGATGAAACACTGATGTGCTGAAGAATTGATTGGGATGGGCTATTTCTAAAGCATTTCATTCTTCATCTGGCTAAGCTTTAATAAATTTGCAGGGAATTACTTTTTTGCTCCACTGCCTCTGTACTCTCTGCAATGCTGCTTGCCATTAGCTGCTCCTGTCCTCAGCAGCCTTTGAGGAAATGTGGAGAGCTTAGCTCTCAGCCCGAACAGGAAGTTGGCTAGACAGAGGGACTTTGATGATTATGGTCCAGGCTGTAAAGCTTGGCAAGTAGCTTAAAAAAAGAGACAGGGCTGGAGGGTGTTTGGTTTTCTTTTTGGTTTGTTGATTTTAAAGCTGAAGATAATTTTTGCTCTAATAACCTATATGGAGAACATTCTTATGCCATCTTTTTCTTTTTATCCTCTCTCCTCAGTCATTTCTACTTCTGTCAGTGAAAAAAGACCGACTACCCAGAAATATCCATGTCCCAGAGTTATCCCTGAAAAGTCTCTTTGAGGTAAGGTGGCTTCTTGAAACATATGGTTTCAAGTCAGGCCACTTCAGGCTTGTATTTGGGACCTTCCCCTTTCGCTGTCTCACCACACGTTTGTTATCTACAGTAACCTTAGCCCTGAGCCACAGCTAATCCAGGTTTTATCGATTCCAAAATTTATGGGTGAAGGGTTTGAAGTTTCATATTGATGTAGTGACTTCCATGATTCTTCCTGTGTGTATGTTGGTTTTTTTCTTTTTTTCAGAAATATGTCTTCATTGGACTTTATGAGAAGATGGAACAGGTGCCTCAGTTAGTCCAGTGGCTCATCTCCATTGGTGCAAATATTGAGACTATAGGCCCGTATCCGCTTCATGCCCTCATGCAACTCTGTATCCAAGCGAGTGAGTGTTCTTCCCATTATTCCTCCTCCGAGCTGCCCTTCCAGCTCTGAGCTCTGGGACTCTCCTGAGCTCAAGCGAAACCAGAATGTGGCCACTTGAATGTAAAATATTTAAATGATTTGATTATTCAAATGGATGACGGCAGCAGGGAAACAGCATCATTTGTATTTCTTCTGAGACCTGGTTGCTACAAGAGGCCCAAACTAAAAGGCTTCTGTGTTCCTAGACACATCCTGGCAGCAGGCTGGAGCCCTGGGACCCAAGGAGGAGACTTGGGACAGACAGCTTTTGCTGGGCAGAGCTCCCAGGAGGGCTGTGGAGTTTCCTCTTGCCTGCAGAGGCAGCTGTGGTCTTTTTCCCAGTTCATTTTCTCTCTAGCCCAGAGGGCCAACCGCTGTGAGCAGGGTGGGGGGTAGTTGGAGGGGTGGATCCCAAGGGAAACACTGGCTGTATAGCTGATAAAATTTGCTTATGGTTCTTTTAAAGGACTCCTATTTTCATAAAGTTCTTTTTTTTTTTATTAGTCTTCACCTGGCTATAGGATTTAAACTTTAAAATATTTTAATTTGATCATTAAAACACACGCACACACACACTTTAGATAGGAGCTTGTTTTTCTTTTCCAAGCATGTGTAGCATCATTGTTGGACAATTACCCAGACCATTTTAGAGCCAGAAGGGGACAAGAGAATTTGTCTAGATAGCTTCCTCTTCCAGGCTGTGTCATCTCTCTGGGAATGAGGGAGAGAGGGAGTGGCCAGGGGCTGGAGGACCTGGGGCCCGTCTTTGCTTTAGTCAGGTTGGCCCTGCTGTTATCCATTTCATGTATTGGAGAATCGATGAGAGGTTTTATTCTGACACAGGGATTGGTGGATAAAACATTTATTAGTAAAGTCTGATTAAAAGCAATCTAACCCAATCCTCTTAGTTTCAAAATTAGAAATCTGGAACCCAGAGAAGTGTGCCTCTGGTTAGGAAAATCATGATTCTTCGTTGTATCTACTCTTGAAGTTAGCTCCTCTGGTTACAGGCCGGTATTGATCAGATCAATCTTCAAGTTTATCCCTGATTAGTTTCTCAGAGGAAAACTCTGACATGGTGACAAATGATGTCCACAGAGTTGCCAGAAGTGTGATGCTTTCCTCCATCTCAGGAGCTACAGGGAAGGAGTCTGGAAAAAGAATTTAAAATATATGTTCTATTGATAGTAATGTAGTAGGATAATCTAATCAGACATGCTGACTTGATTACTGCCACGGGCGGTGTTGGTGCCTGGCCTAGATCGTTTTAGTCACCAGTGTCCCCATTCCACCTGCTGTGAGTACTGGTGGTTCCAGCAGAAAATTGCTCTTTGTCAACAGGCACCACTTTCCAGGGAGGGTCTCCCTCAACCTTGCCTCCCTCCCTTGGGGCATTCTGTAGCTCTTGACTGACGGTCAAGGGAGTATAAAAGGTCAGCCCCTGCCACAAGTTGGGTCAATGCTGTGGTGCAGTTCATGGTCCAGAGCTCTCCATGGGATCAGGCTGAAGCCGACTCAGCTGAGACTGCATCCCTGCTTGCCTCCTTCCCCTGCCCAGCCCTGCTTCCCTCACTGTCTTTCTCCTGAGCTCCCTTTCAATAGATCACATGTACGAGAATCCTTGTCTCAGGCTCTGCTTCTAGGGACTCTGACTTAAGAGTATTATGAATAACTTTCTAAGACTCATCCTTTCAATTTACAAACTCCTGTGTCTCCCACACCTGTTTGTGGTGAGTGGCAGTGTATGTTGGATTCCCCATTTGGTTCCCTCAGCATGGTACACGTTGATTTGCTTTGCTGATTTTCTGTATATAGAAAATAACCTTAGCAACTCCTTTTAATTCCCTTCAGGGGAAAACCATCTTTTCAAGTGGTTAATGGACCACAAGCCTGAGTGGAAAGGCCGCATCAACCAGAAGGATGCAGATGGCTGCACCGTCCTGCATCTTGTCGCAGCCCACTCCCACTCCCCAGGATACCCCATGAGGCGTAAGTAGCAATACCGTGCTGGGGGGTGTGCCATGGGCTAGATGATTTCAGGCATTAGAGAACCCACAAAACTGACCACTGTGTTTTACCTATTCCAACCTGTGACAGGCTCAAAGGGCTGAACTTTGCCTTGAATGAAATGTGATCGGGAGGGTAGGCTGGATGCAGAAAGGAGGTTGAGAGAAGGGTGAGAAGGAAGAATTACTGGGCTCCATGTACTCTTTGGGCTTTAAGTGGCTTCTGTGGGGTTGAATATCTCAAGTTCATGGGCTTCTGGCTGCATTTGTTCCCTCCCTCATCACATGCTTACAAAGTGCTTTCTTTTATGCCGAATCTGTGCTAGCCACCAGAGATGAATTGTGAACCAGACAGCAGATTGGCGCTTCATGGCACTTAGGAATCTGACACAGGAATCGCATGCTCCCAATCCAGCCCGTGCCAGACAGGCCACGTGAAGGAGTGAGGCTGGCCATGCAAGGAAAAGCTGGTCTTTGATGCAGATGTATCTTGTTAGCCTGTGAAACAGGACACTGTGTAAACTCCCACACAGCACTCTGATGTTGCTCATTTTTTGGAAACCCTCAGACTTCTCCCTCTTTGGTTTCTGTTTTGGATGGAGACAAGTATAACTTTTCCATAACACAATTAGAGCAGCTGTGATGACAAGTGGTAGTGGACTCAGTCCCGGTGGAAGGGAGGTGACAGGGAACAATGGGGGCTTGTGCCTGATGTGGCTGCAGCCTGGTACTGACCATGGGAACCAGGTCGTGCTGCCTTCTTCTGATGGCCAGAGATGTTGAAAGCCTGGATTTTTTAAAAATATGAAAACTCATGATTAGAAAACGTTGGCTCAAAATTAAGGATGCCTGTGGACTAACAGCCCGAAGGCCTTGAGGTAGGGACCTCTGGTCTGGTGGGTCCTCCTAGGAAACTGCAGTTTTCTCTCCTCAGCCCATCCCAGGAAGAACCCAGTGAGGTTTGTGTCTCTAATGTCTTTCCTCACTGAACTGGGTCCCAGGAATCCATATCTGGGGAAAACAGAGAAAATGTGTCCAATGGATTTTTTTTTTTGAGGAAGATAAGCCCTGAGCTAACATCTGCCCCCAATCCTCCTCTTTTTGCTGAGGAAGGCTGGCCCTGAGCTAACATCCGTGCCCATTTTCCTCTGCTTTATATGTGGGATGCCTGCCACAGCATGGCTTGCCAAGTGGTGCCATGTCCGCACCCGGGATCCGAACTGTGAACCCGGGTCCCCAAAGTGGAATGTGCGAACTCAACTGCTACGCCACCAGGCCGGCCCCCAGTGCATTTTTTTTTTTAGCTTTATTCATATACCCTATAATTCACCTATTTAAAGTGTGCTAGTCAATGCTTTTTAGTATATTTAGAGTTATGTAGCCATCATCACAATCAATTTTATCACATTTTCCTCATCCCCAAAACAAACTCTGTATCCCCTAGCAGTCACTCTCCATAGCCTCCTACCTCTGCAGCCCTAAGCAACCACTAATCTATTTTCTGTCTCTATGGACCTACCTATTCTGGACATTTTCATAGACATGGAATCATACGATATGTGGCCTTTTGTGACTGGCTTCTTTCACTGAGCGTAATGTTTTCAAGGTTCATCCTTGATGTAGCATCTATCAGTACTTAATTCCTTTTTATTACCAAATAATGTTCCATTGTATGGATATGCCACATTTTGTTTGTCCATTCATCACTTGATGGACATTTGAGTTGTTTCCACTTTTCGGCTATTGTGAATAATGCTGCTAAGAACGTTTGTGTATAAAGTTTTTGTGTTGGGATATATTTTCATTTTTCTCAGATAGTTACCTAGGAGTGGTATTGCTGGATTGTGTGGTAAATCTATGTTTAACCTTTTGAAGAACTGCCAGACTGTTTTTCCAAGTGGCTGCACCATTTTACGTTCCCACCAGCAAATCACAAGGGTTCCAGTTTTAATATATCCTTGCCAACACTTGTGATTATCTTCTTTTTGATGCCTTATGTATTTCAGTACCTTCTTAAAGATGGTGGTTTCCTGGCAAATGTTTGACAACTGAATTTTTAAAAAGAAAAGCCGTAAACTGTAGTGTTTTCCAGTTTCCTTGGTATAAATACTGCCACAATGAGTGATTTCAGGTTACCAAGGTGATGTCACTGAACGTGGAGCTGGGAAGTGTGCAACACAATATAATATAATTATATTGTATTTTCACCATACAGATACATATTAAGATAGATGTGAAGAAACCTCATCATAGATAATAGAAAAATGTAGTAAAATAATTAGGAAGTGATGATTTTTGTTTCTAATATAATTTATTGATTATAAGTTTAAATAATTTAGTTTTTAATAATTGCTGTGCTTATCAACTGGCTTACAATATTCCTGGATATTTGACAGTTGGTCCTTCTGGACTGGCGTAAGCTGGCTCCAGATACCACTGTGATAAAGCCATCATTAGCCTAGTAATTTATGGTTAAAGTGTGTACCTCCAGCCTTTGTACTCTCCTTACACATCCCCATTCTGAAAATCCCCAAGAAAAATATCATTCCAGATAGGACTCTCTAATTTGCAAAGAAACACATTCTCCAGGTCTCCTGAATTCCAGGTGGCTTGGGCAGTGTTTGGGTATTTTGTATGCCTGCTATGCTTTAGATACTGTGTGTATTGATAACTTGGCAAGCATTCCATTTCCCAGATTTAAACCAGCACCGTCCAATGCAAGTGTAATGATAGCCACATATACAATTTAAAATTTTACTCTTTCAAAAGAGTAAAACAAAATGAATGCAATTAATTTTAATAGTATATTTTATTTAACCCATCTATGCAAAATATTATCATTTCTTCCTGATTCATTGGAGTTTTTATCTTTTTCCAAATGGCTACCTATTTGTCTCAGCACCATTTATTTAAAAGTCTGTTGTGACCTCAGGAATTTGAGATGCTACTAATTCTGGACTTTCTGTTCTGTTATACTGGACTCTTTTCCTATCTATGTGTTATAGGCTTCTTTGAATCACCTTTTAAAAAACTAGTTTAAAAATTGAAAGTATGCTTCACACCAAGAAGGCTAAAATAAAAAGAGATGGACAGTAACAAGTATTGACAAGGATGTGGAAAAATTGAAACCCTTGTGCAGCGCTAGTAGGACTGAAAAATGGTGCATCTGCTTTGGTAAAAAGTCTACCAGTTACTCAAAAAGATCAACAGAGTTACCATACGACCCGGCAGGATTACTCCTGGGTATGCACCTAAGACAAATGAAAACATAGGTCAAAACAAAAACTTGTACGTGAATGTTCATAGCAGCATTATTCACAACGGCCAAAAAAGTAGAGACAACCCAAATCTCCCATCAACAGATGAATGGACAAACAAAATGTGATGTATCCATCCGATAGAATATTATTCAGCCTTGAAAAGGAGTGATACACATGCTACAACAGGGATGAACCTTGAAAATGTGCTGAGTGAAAGAAGCCAGACACAAAAGGTGCATGACTCCATTTATATGAAATGTCCAGAATAAGGAAATCTCTAGAGATAGAAAATAGATTATTGGTTGCCAGGAGCTGGGGAAGTTGGGAAAGGGGGAGTGTGTACTAATGCATGTAAGGTTTCTCTTTAGGGTGATGAAAATGTTCTGGAAATGATTGCATAGCTTCATAAATACACTAAAATTCACTGAATTGTATACTTTCAAGGGATTAATTTTATGGTATATGAACTGTATCTCAACCAAAAAAAATTTTTTAAAGGTAAAAGAAAATTAAAAATGCATGCTCTTAGTAAAAACCAAAAACAAACCCCAAACAAGAACAACAACAAAACACTTCAAAAAGATGCACAGCAAAAAATAAATTTTCCTCCACAAAGTTAACTACCAAAACATTTTTTGTGTATGTTGCTGGTATATATATTTATAAAGCCAAATGTCTTTCTTTTCTCTTCCAGATATGAATGTGAGCATCCTCTACATTCTGTTCAGCAACTTGCTTTTTCCCTGAACCATGTGTCTTGGCCATCTTTCCCTCATAGTACCCGCACAATTATTTCTTGCTTTTTCCCTGAACCATGTGTCTTGGCCATCTTTCCCTCATAGTACCCGCACAATTATTTCTCTCTTTTTTTAACAGTATTCTCTCGCATGACTATACCCTACTGATGGATATTTAAATGGTTTTCAGTTGTTTTGCTATTGAAAACAATACTCAAGAGCACATTTTTTACATCGATCTTTGTGAACTGTTGGGAATGTATCTGTAGCATGATTTCCTAGTTGAGAAATTGCTTGTTCAAAGAATTTGTACACTTTATTTGGATAAACTCTAATTTTATTGAAATTTTAAATAGATGACATTAAAAAATCAAAAGGTACATACATTGAGAGTCTCTGTCCTACATTTGTCCTTCAACCACTCAGGAACCAGTGTCACCAATATCTTATGTTTTCTTCCACAAATATTTTATGTATGTACAAGTAAAAACATATATACAGTGCCGGCCCGGTGGTGCAGCAGTTAAATTCGCATGTTCCGCTTCGGTGGCCTGGGGTTCGCTGGTTTGGATCCTGGGTGCGGACATGGCACCGCTTGGCAAGCCATGCTGTGGCAGGTGTCCTACATGTAAAGTGGAGGAAGATGGACACAGATGTGAGCTCAGGGTCAGTCTTCCTCAGCAAAACGAGGAGGATTGGCAGTAGTTAGCTCAGGGCTAATCTTCCTCAAACAAACAAAAAAAACATATATACACTTTTAAGATGTTAGCATATTGATATGTATTTAGATTTTGAAAGCTATTGCTGACTTGAGCCCCAGGAAGATTGCACCAACAGTGTATGAGATTTTCTACATCTTGAGTATTTTTTGGTACATGGAGAGTCAAGAACTCTCTCGATTCTTTGATGTGGTTGGAATTTTAAATCCTCCATTTGAAATAATTGCAGTATCATAGGACCTTAGAAATCTTTGGTTCTCTTGGCATTTTGGTGGGGGCCGGTTGTTATGATGGTCCTACTGGCTCTGGAGCACAGTGGTTTGAGAAGCCCAGGGGTGCAATCCCAGAGAATCACTAGACCCAGGCAGCAGCGGGACCCAAATCTGAGAAATGGTCATCTCCTAGAATTGAAGAAGTAAAGATGAATTGGGACTAGTTGCATCTGTCTTGGTTACAAGCTACAGACAGTCAAACTGGCTTAGGCAAGAAAAGGAATTTATTGGCTCATGTGACTAAAGGGTCCAGAGTTTGGTCCAGGTGCTCCCAAGGTGTTTTCAAAAGTCTGTCTTACCCCTAAGCTCTGTTTTCTTCTGTGTTAGTTTCATTCTTAGGCAGGGTCTCTTTCAGTTGAGGCCACCAGCACCTTCAGGCTTATATTCTGTCGATTTGTCAATCTCAGCCAAAGAGGATACCTTCTCTCAATATTTCAGTAAAGGTCCTAGGAATTAGTCTCAGTGACTTGATTTTGGCCCATGCCCTTCATGAACCAATCCCTAGAGCTGGAAGGATGGAATGATCTGATTAGCTAGGACCTGGTCGGATGTTCAACCCTGGAGCTGGGAGCAGGGACAGAGCCAGAAAGACGGCATGATCTGGTTGGCCAGGTCTTGGAGAAGTGTTTGTCCTGGAGCTGGGAGGTGGGATGGAGCCAGAGGATGGAATAATCTGATTGGCCAGGTTCTTTCTGTTTAGGTGTTGCCCCTGGAGTGGGGGCTGGGGCTGGGACAGTGGTGGAGGATGTGGTAGTGACAAGTGTGTGTTTGTGTGTGTGTGTGTGTGTCTGTCTGGTGTTCACTCCCCATCAAATCAGGTAGGCTGGGAATGGGGAGAGTTGCTTTCTCAATGGAAAACGGGGGTATTGTTATCAGGAAAAGGGGGAATGGATGCAAGTCAGTGAAAAAAAAATCTAGTATGTTAGTGGTCTTAAAATTTTGCTTTCTAACTCCCTTAAAGAATTTCGAAAACCTGTGCACCTGTTTACATATTTATAAGTCAATATCTAGAATTTTTAATCTGTAAGTCTAAATAATTGTAAGCAAAGGTAATTTTCAGAGTTTTGGACACATTGATATTTTAAAACAAAACTGTTATCTCACTCCTTTACTTGTATGTAATAGAATATAAATACTGCAGCGATTTGGTATCTTCTAACATCTACTTGAAAAATTATAGATAAGCTCTTTAATAGTCAAAAATATCAAATTGTGCATTCATGTTTTTGGATCACATTTCCAGTTTACTTTTCAGAAAGAAGTTTGCCCTAATGTATTTTATGCTTGAAAGTCTTTTCAGTCATCCATTGATATACTGTTCTGGAATGAAAGTACTTATGTAGCTTTAAATTTTAAAAAATTTCTGTGATTTAGGACTCTAAGGTGAATTTTTTTCTGGATTTAATTATTACAAAATTACTATTACTACAGAGATCATAAAAACAACAGAAATATATTAAAAATTCCTGTACGTAATTGTTAAAGATAAAAATTTGGGGAGGAGGTCACCGAAGGGTGGGTTGTAGTGCCTTTTAAAAAGGGCTCAGCTGGCACCTAATTTTCCCTTATGTTGATACCCTGAAGGTGAGGAGTTTTCGCTTCCTTTGGGGCAATACACTATGCTAATTGGAATCATTCTCTATGCTGTGTAACAAATCACCATAAACTTAGCATCTTAAAACAATACCCAATTGTTAGCTCATAGTTCTATAGGTCAGTAGCCTCAATACCTTGAGGGTGAAGTCAAGGTATTGGCTGAGGCTACATTCTCATCCGGAGTTCCAGACCTTCTTTCAGGCTCACATGGTTGTGGCAGAATCCAGTTCCTGTGGTTGTAGGACTGAGGTCCCAGTTTCCTTGCTGGCTGTCAGCCAGAGGCTGCTCACAGCTTCTACAGACCACACACATTCCTTGTCGTCTGGCCCCCTCTATCTTCAAAGTCAGCAGGGGGAAATTTCTTGTGCATCAAATCCCTTTCATACTTTGAATCTCTGCCCTCTTCCAACTCTGCCCTCTAGACCTTTGACCTTTAGGGTTCATGTGATTAGGTCAGGCCCACCTGGATAATCCTCTATCTTAAGGTCAACTGCTTTGGGACCTTTATTACATTTGCAAAGTCTCATCACAGCAGCACTAGATTAGTATTTGATAGAACAACTGAGAGAAAGTATGTGTACACCAGGGGTTGGAAATGTTGGGGGCTGTCTTAGAAATCTGCCTACCACGGTGAGATACTCAGTGGGTCAGAAGTATGACTTTTTCATTTTGTCTTATTTTTGTGAAGTGAGTGAAGGGCAGTTGTGACTGAGGTGATAGGAAAGGAGAACACCATGAGCAGGATGATACATGGAGTATAGGTGCCTTGTCAAGGTGGTGAATTTTAGGAAAGCCTGGGTCTGGACACTGGGAATCAGGCATTGATTCACGTAACTCTAGTGCCCACGTAAGTCTTTGTACCTCCAGGGAGACCCCCGTTCCATTCTGAAACACCTTGATGCTTGACAAGTAGATATGTCAAAGCAGCAAATGGAGCCTGCAGCCAGAGGGTTGGGGCTGGGAGGTTGGAAACAGTGACAACAGAAAGACCCTGATGCAAAAGCAATTGTCACGTTCTTCTCCTCTCCCTAGACAGGCGTTTTTTCTGGAAGAATATTCTGTTTCCTTTAGAGAATAAAGAAATCTCAAGTCACAGCTTGCTGTTATCCTTACAGCTGTTAGCTGTTGCCTAGTAACCTGATTCCCCCTCTCCTTGTTGTTGCCAAGGAGAGAGGAGAGAGGTAGAGAGGAGCACACTTCTGAACCTCTTAAAAGCTATTGTCCTTCGCACTCCACACAGGACTCCTAGGTTCGGGGAGTTGGGTGGACTGCCCAAGGCTGGCACTTCAGGTTCCCTAAACAGAGGGACATTGGTCTCCTTGTCCTGGGCTGCTCTGGCAGGGAACTGGGCATGAGAATACTCAGGGGGACGTCTCCTTATGGAAGGAACCCTTATGCTAATGCCCCCTTCTCCTTCTTGCCCACCCTAGGACAAACAGAGGATGTGCAGATGCTCCTGTGCTTTGGGGCAGACCCAACCCTGCTGGACCGACAGTCCCGGTCCGCAGTGGATGTTCTGAAGAGGAATAAGAACTTCAAAGCTGTCAATGAAATCAACATTCACTTGAAAAAGCTGGCTGCATCTTCTAAGGACCTCTCAGGTACAGCTTCCAGTGAATTAAGTTTTTTTGAGGGGTAAAAGTGGTTCTGTGACATTAGGTACAAATCAGTTTATCTTTTCTCGGTATGTGAAGATGAAAGTGAGACCTCCAATGTTCAGAAAATTTGTTTGCTTTTTATGACAGATAGAATGAGACAACTCTTATTTAGAGAGCGTCTATCACATTCTGGGAACTTTACCAGGTCCACCTTTGGGCAGTATGGCTGATTTTTTTTTTTCATGCACGCACACAGTAAAAAAAGAAAAAAATTCAGCCAGAACAGGAGCTAATCAAGCCTACTCCTCAGAAACAACTACAGCCAACAATTTAAAATACACTTATATCTCTATTTCTTGATTTATCAATTTTGGACAGTATCTGTTGACTGACTACTGTATAAGATCAAGAGCAAGAAGTCAGCCCTACTTGTTGAATTTTGTCTAGTAATGTTATTTATGTCATTTACATTCTATTTCTTATCTCTAAGTTTTCCATGCTTCATCTAAAAATGGAACACCAGGAAATGGCATTTTCGTGGTAGTATGATTATGTCAATATTAACGCTTTCTACAACTAGTGGCATAGCTGGACCCAGAGAAAGAATCACCCAATATCCCCAAAACTTTGCTCTTTAAGTGTGATACTCTTTAAGCATCCCAATTTAATGAAATATATACATACATATTGTTGTGTATATGTGTATATATATTTATGTACCTATATATACTTTTTAAACTTTATTTAGACTTTAGCCGCAGCATATATATATTGCACTCCTGTATGGCTCTTGTGGCTCATGGTGATCTGGTTAGATTTCTCTCTTGCTCTGCTAGAGTGCGTGCCCAAGTAAGTTTTTCATGGAGGAGATGTGGATAGTAGACTTACGGAGGTTTTGAAAGTGTCTTTATTTTATCTTTATATTTAATGATAATTTGTCTTAATATATGCATCTTATTTCAGCATTTCTAAGTTGCACTTTTTCCCCACATTTTAACGTCTTTGAAATTGGAATGTGTTTTACAATCAGTGACGTGTCGCAGTTTAATGGCAGTTTTCTAGTGTGCCTGACAGTGCATGGTGTCTTAGGTTTCTGAACTATGCTATAAAACCTTGATCTTCACAACTTTGGAGAAATCGTTGTATGTATTCTAGCCCCCGTCTGCTATGGATTAGAAGTCTGATGTCACTCTCATTTGTTTTGCCTTCTAGGATCTTCTCTGTGTTCAGAGTTCTGCCGTTTCCCTGTGATGTGTCTAGCTGTGGGTCCTTACTCATTCTTCTGGCTTGGTGCTTGCTGGGCCCTTTTGGTCTTTTTTGGCTCAGGGAAATGATCTTCTGTTATTGTGTTACCCTCCGATGTCTTTTTCCTCTCTTTGCCTCTACTGTGAGATGGGTGAACGTCCCCAGTTTATCGCACGTCGCTCTACTTCTCCCTAATGTCGTCTAGCTCCCTTATTTCACCCACCTCTTTAACTTGGTCTTCAGCTTTTCCTTTTGTAATTCAGCTTGCCCACTGAATGTTTTAATTTGGAGAATCAATTTTAATTTCTAACAACTTTCTTGTTCTCTGATTTTCTTATCTGTGGCAACTGGTGCTTGTTTTACAGTTGCCACTTCTTGAAGGGCATTTAAGAATATTGATAATTTTTTTGCTAAAGAATGTCTTCCTCTCTTTTCTGAATTATTTATTGTTTCTTTCTGGGTTAGTTGATGCATTTTCTTGCTTCTCTCTTGTGCTGTTGGTTTCCCCTAATTATCTTCTGCTCTTTGGATGGTTTGTATTTATGAGTGAAGGACTAGATTGATTAATACTTAATAGATGGTTAGTGTGTGTTTGCTGAAGTTATTTGGAGGTGTTTCTCCAGAAACACTCCCTCCTGGAATGAGTGAGTAGGTGGCAAGCTGAAGGCCACCTGTAGGGTGTGTGCTGGGGTGGGAGTGGGAGGCAGCCTGACAGGCTGGGGATCAGCGCAATTGCCAGAGTCAGGAAAGTTTTATGTGGGGGACATTGAAGCTGTTTTTCATTTAACACCCCCGTCTATGTTTTAATTTTCATTGATTTGTTTAAAATATCTTCTGTTGTTTCCATGAGACCATGGGAATGAGGGGAGAGAAATGTATTTGCAGAGTCCTCTGTTTTTCATGGATGTTCTTTTAAAGCTGTGACATATCATACTGAGTTCCAGTTCACTATTTAAAGGAATTGGTGGGTAGTGTAATTAATAAAGTATTGTGAAACGCTTTCTGGAAGCTTATGCCTGAAATCTCAGTTTCAGGATGGTTTCTCTTGTTTGAGAAATTGAAACTAACCAAACAGATTTTGCAATGAAGTTCCACATTTTAAAATAACAACAAAAAACAACCAATTAATGGTAGAAAATGGCTGATTTGTTTGCAAATTTATCATTTATTAATTCTATTGTTAATTCTTAGGATACTGTATGTGTGTAGATGTGTGCTATAGAGTAGCATAAGTCATTCACTTTTGTTTGGTCTTTCGAAGTTTTGATTTTTTATGTTTCCTTGTACAATAGAATCTTTGAATATCTACTAATCCTAAAAACATCTCATCTTCTGCGAGAGGGCCTCACTCTCCCTTCCGTCTCTCCTCTTTCACCAACGAAATCTGTGGCCCAGGTTTGGAACCAAAAGAGACTCAGTAGAATGGCAGCTGGTCCCCGTTTTACTTGTTAGAATTCAACTGTACTGACTTGGCAGAAAAGCGCACGCGAGAGCAATGTGCCTCGTTCCAGGCCTGCTGTTTGGCTCTCTGGTTAGTTTGTGGTGGCTGTGGATGCAGTCAAGTCTAAAGCCCCAAATACTCTTTGGTAAACTTATTGGATGTTTGATTACTTTAAAGCTTTACAGACCATTGACCACAAAGGTTTCCAAGCCATGCTCGAGGAATATTGAAAGACTATAGGGAAATGCTGAGTCAAAAAAGCAAAAGAAACTGATAAAAATAAAAAAAGAGGGGGCTGGCCCTGTGGCCGAGTGGTTAAGTTCCTGCACTCTGCTTTGGTGGGCCAGGGTTTTGCCAGTTCGGATCCTGGGCGCCGACATGGCACCACTCATCAAGCCATGCTGAGGCGGCGTTCCAGATAGCACAACCAGAAGGACCTACAACTAGAATATACAACTATGTACTGGGGGGTTTTAGGGAGAAGAAGAAGAAGAAGGAAAAAAAAGGAAGATTGGCAACAGATGTTAGCTCAGGTGCCTATCTTTAAAAAAAAAAATTCAAAATAGAAGAGGATGACAGTTCAGGAAGGGCTAGCAAGTCGAACTCTTCCTATATAGTACTTCCCAGGGTACTCCTAGCAGCGGAACCTTTGTCGAAGTCCATCTCGGAATACGATCTCCGTACAGAATTATGTACTGAATATCAGTGTTCTCTTGTACGTCCATTCGGCTGTATAGAGTTGTAGGCATACATTTTATTTTTAAGATTTTGCCAATTGCACAAACTTTAAAACCTGAAGTGGGTGCTTTTGAGACTGGTATCATGCAGTATAATTTTCTGTAATGATGGAAATGTTTTATATCTGCTCCGACTGATATGATAGCCACTAGTCACGTGGATGTTGAGCACTTGAAATGTGTGTGGCTCAGGCAACTAAAGAACTGAAATTTTAATTGTACTTAATTAGCTTTGCTTTTATGTGATTAAGTCAGTTTGGCCACTGTACCAGGACAGTGTAGTTTTAGACTTTAGCCCCAGAACAGTCTTTCTGTCCAGAGTGGTAGTTGAGAAGACAGTGGGAGGGAGAGGTAAAGGGAGGGCCAGGGCCATGGGAATAGAGGTAGATCTCCAGCCATAAAAATGAGAATTTTATGGACTTTAATCCCTCCGCCTCCTCACACATTAACGGGCCAGATGGAAGCATCAGCTTTGGGAAAAGCTGCTGCTGGGAGTTTGGTACCCTCGTTCCTGACCTGGGTCTGACTTGATGGGTTTTGTGTTCTGCATCTGTGGTCCTGAGTAAAGCCCCATTAGGACACCAGCTTTTTGTCCCCCACTGAATGACCATTCCACTTTACAGACCAGGATAAAAGATGCTCTCATCCTTGGCTCCTCCTGGGGGTCGCTGTGGCCCATTTTGATGATAATGGTGGTGATGGTCTCTTTGGATAGGGTGGCTTTTGCATCTCGGTGAGACATAAAGGGTCTTGCTGGAGATGTCTGCTGCTCTCTGACTCAGAGCTTCCCGACGGTAACCGGCACACGAATCATTTGGGGGGCTGTGAAAGTGCGGATTGTGATTCAGCAGTTCAGGGCAGGACCCGAGATGCTGCATTTCTCACGAGCTGCCAGGGGAAGCCAGAGCCCACTTTGGGGAGCAAGGCTTTAGGATTAAATCGTCAGGATTGTATAACTGTCTTTCCCGGCCTCTCATGGCCACCGCCAGATGGCAGCATGTCCACCTTCTCTGGTGCCCGTTGCTCAGCTCTTCCCTGTGGACCAAGAACAGCAAGATTGGAGCCTTTGTTTTTCTCCCAGTTGTTTGTGATCTTCTCTGATTCACTAGTGCAGGGCCTTTTAGAATGAGAACAAATCCAGGCCTCTGAAGCCTTTTTCTCTGGTCCTCCAGTGGGGAGCCAGCTGCTTTCTGCTGTGTGCTCATGCAGGTACCTCTAGCACAACTCTCAGGGCACTGGAACCTTCTCTTTGTGTCCAAAGATGGAGGCTGTGACTCAGAGGCCACGGTTTGTCAGCTCTGCATCCCTCAGCACCAAGACCCTGCAGTTTTCATTAAATGCAGGCATGCGATGTTGACTTCAAGGATGTCCGTGATGCCTTTTCCTTACTATAAAAGGAATATATTCTTTTTTTAAAAGAAAAATTTAAAAATATAGGAAAGGAAAACAAGAAAATATTAATTCTCCATAAACCCAGCTGCCCCCCAAATTAATGTATTTGTGATCTAGTCAATTAGTTTTATTCCATGCATTTATAGTTACACATTTTTCTTTTCTTTTCTAAAAATGAGATGAATACATAAATTTAAACTGATAAAATGTGTGTAATAAAACTTACCCGTTTTGCCTTTTTTTAGCTTGAAAGAAAGATTTTGGGGAAAAACAAAATCTCTTTTTAAAGTGATTTATTTCTGTTCTGTAACACTTCTGAGGACTACTGCAACTTCAGAAGATCTCTTTTAGTTTTAATTTTTAATTTCAAATCTGCTTATATATGTATATGTTCTAAATATGATCATTGTAGAAAATTTGTAAAAATATAGTTTTATATAAAAACAAAGATTTATTGTAATTACTCTTGGGCATATTATTGTCCAGTCTTTTATTTTTGTCTCTTACTAAGCTTATGGAAAATTTAGAAAAAAGCAGACAAGTTCAGAGTAATAAACAAGTTGCCCGTGGCTACCCAGGGATACCATTGTCAGTTTTTTAGTATCTCTCCTTTTATCTGTTTTTATGTGTTGATTTCATTCTCAGGAGTGCTAGTCAGCCATTGCTATACCACACACGGGTTTTCTATCTCAGAGTGAGCCTCTGGCTGAGGTGATGTGGGTCTTCCTTTGCCAAATGGTTTCCATTTCTTCTTCTATGGAGGATAGTGGGTCTCGCTTCTGTCTGGCGCCTGAAGGTCTCTTGATCAGAGGGCAATGGGCGTTTGCCCCAGAAGTTGGTGTGTGTGTGTCTGATGTGCTGACTTGGTTTGTTGAAAGCTGACCCAGGTGTGTATCAGACTGCACAGCAGATAAGGTGGGAGCTCTGCTTGGATCCCTTGGGTCCCTTTTACCATTGTGGTGCTCCCTGCCGTGGTGGGCCTTCGCACTGGAGGCTCCTTCTCAAGAGCAGTCTTTGGGCTTATGGAGCCTGTGCTGCTCATGCTTCTTCCACCCAGCAGTGCCTGTCCTCCCAAGGCAGCCTGTAGCCAGTGACTGATAGGTGTGACAACTTGAAATCCAGTTTCTCTTGCCTTGGATGGGGACAGCTCTGAGGTGTGACTCACTCCGGAGCTCCTCTGTGGGACCAGGTGCAGCCACCCTCTGTGGGACTTGACCTGAGCTCACACCCTGGCCTGGCTTCCCCCCGGACCCCTAACCTGCGCCCCGGCTCCCTAACTGGTCTCCTCCGTAATAACCGTGTGTACACAAATCCTTGGCTCGGGATCTGCCGCCCAGCAACCTGAGTGAAGATAGGATGCTTTTTGTTTTTCTCTCATTTTTAAACAGTCCATCTCTTTTAAAGTGTTCTGACTCTGTTAGAACATGACAGTGAACATTTGTTCATCTCTTCACAACATCACAGCACTTAGGCCAGGCCCTTCTCGTTGGGTGTGAAAACAGATGTCCAGTTCTGCTCCCTTCTCTATTCTGTAAGGTTCCATTTTAACCGAGTGCTTTTTGAGAGTATAATCTGATACCAAATAAAACATCTACCCTTTTTCAACAGCCCATCAGTGGTCGTTTTCTAATCATGACTGCTTTCTCAAATAAATTAAACCAAGGCGGTATCGTCCTCCCTTCTTTGGCCAGAGATGTGGCTCCTTACTCTTGGCTCTTTCCACTTGCCAGTAAGACACATGGGTGACCGGCATGTAGTTGGATGTTGCTGTTGCTCTAAGCCACCCTGCGGTCACTTCCCTGAACTCTTATATCAGTTATCTATTGCTGCGTAACAAACTGCCCCAAAACTTAGTAGCTGAAAACAACAGACATTTATTTAGCTCATGATCCTGCAGGTCAGCAGTTTAGGCTGGGCTGTTCTCATAGCCTTTACTAAACTCCTTCGGTGTCTGCAGTCTTGCTGAGCTTGGCCAGGCTTTTTCACCTCTATGGGGCCTCAGTTTGTACAACTGGACTGATTCCTCTTTATTCTATGCTGTCTCTTCTTCCTCAGAAGACTGGCCTGGACCTGTTCACATGGCAGAGGCCAAGGTCCCAAGAGAATGAATAGAACTCAATAAGGCCTCTTGAGGCCCCAGCTCAGAACTGACACAAAAATCACATTGACTGCATTCTTTTTTTATTATTATTATTTTTTAATTTTTTTATTGCAGTAACATTGCTTTATAACATTGTATAAGTTTCAGGTGTGCATCGTAATATATTTCAAGTTCTGTGTAGATTACATCATGTTCACCACTCAGAGACTAATTAGAATCCATCACCACACACGTGTTCCTAATCACCCCTTTCACCCTCCTCCCTCCCCACTTCCCTTCTGGTAACCACCAGTCCAATCTCTGTTGCTATGTGTTTGTTTGTCGTTGTTTTTATCTTCTACTTATGAGTGGGATCATACAGTATTTGACTATCTCCCTCTGACTTATTTCACTTAGCATAATACTCTCAAGGTCCATCCCTGTTGTCCCAAATGTCTGTATTTCATCGTTTCTTATGGCTGAGTAGTATTCCATTCTGTATATATACCTCATCTTCTTTATCTATTCATCCCTTGATGGGCACCTAGGTTGCTTCCAAGTCTTGGCTATTGTGAATAATGCTGTGAACATAGGGATGCATGTATCTTTATGCATTTCTGTTTTCAAGTTCTTTGGATAAATACCCAGCAACATCCACTGCATTCTGTTGGTCATAGCAAGTCATGAAGCCAGGCCAGAATCAACGGGAGGGGAGGGGAATAGGTTCCACCTCTTGATGGCTGCAGAGGCACATGGTAAAGCACCTGAAGACCCGGTGGGGGGTGCCTCGTGGTCATTTTTGCAATCTACCGCAGCTGTGTCTCTGTATTCAGAAGCATGACCTGGTGTTGTTTTGCAGGCCTGAGCAATGGTGATGCACCCGCTAGTGAGAGTGACACTTTCCGGAAGACCTCTGAGCAGCTGGTGAAGTACATGAACTCAGGAAACCGGTCATTGCATAAAAACCTTCTGAAGCAAGAAGTAGTTCAGAGGTTCTTGCGCCTCCTTTCTTCTCTGCAAGGTAATTTTTCTCACAACATTCAGTTGGTTAAAGATGATTTATGCTCATTAAAACTCTTTTCTAATATCGTTTAAAAATTAATTAAAAAATAAATGTAATGATCTCCATGTAAAACATTCAGACAGCATAGAACATTCTTCAGTGAAAAGTCTATCATCCACCCCTGGACTTTAGTCCCTAAATCCCATCCCTGGAGGCATCCTCTGTTACTAGTTTTTCATGTATCCTCCTAGAGTTACTCTTTGCATATACTCTCCATTTTTCAATACCACAGATGTTTCTCTCTTCTATTATTTCTCTCTTCTAATATTCTTTCTCTCTTCTAATATTGGCTAATTTTGGTGTATAAAGTTGTAGAATTGAATGTTAATTTTTTTCATTATAGGAAAATCAGGAAAGTTCCAGAAAATAACTTTAGATGACAAACTTTACATAATTAGAGAAGATTCTAGAAATCCTAAGCAGGTAAAATTTAGTATTTTTAAAATTGGCAGACAGTATGGTCTAAATGTAAAGCATTCACTTGGACCATTTGTAGGGCTGAGATTTCTCAGTTTACGGGAGAATGCAGGAAGGCCTGGCCAGAAGAACCAAAAATGCTCTCTTTAGGGTAGTATTTAAGGCTTGGAATATTTTGCATTTGAATCTTAACTCTACCACTTAGCAGATCTGTGACCTTGGGCCAATTACTTAACCTCTTTAGGCTTCGGTTTCTTCATCCCTGCCTGGGCTGGGAAACTAACCTCATGAGATGACGGATGTACAGCACTTAGTCCAGTGTCCTACACATAAAATGCTGATACCCATTAGCTGTTAGGGTAAGTTGAAGTGAGGCAAGGCTGCCAGAGCAATCTTCTCTCTTGGATATGAGTGGGTCAGAGATAAACAGCACAGCTGAGGGGCTGGCCCCTTGGCCGAGCGGTTAAGTTCGCGCGCTCCGCTGCAGGCGGCCCAGTGTTTCGTTGGTTCGAATCCTGGGCGCGGACATGACACTGCTCATCAAACCACGCTGAGGCAGCGTCCCACATGCCACAACTAGAAGGACCTACAACAAAGAATATACAACTATGTACCAGGGGGCTTTGGGGAGAAAAAGGAAAAAATAAAATCTTTAAAAAAAAAAAAAAACAGCACAGCTGAGACTCTGGAATGGGAGCCTTTGACTTTTGGACTTGATGTCATCTGCCCCACACCCATGAAGACTGTCCTCATGAAATTGGCTCAACGCAAGGTTGACAGAAGGGAAGCCATATTATAGACAAGAAACCATATTGTAACTTTGAATGACCTCTGACTAACTAACCCTGGATATGTACCCTTCAGGAGATCCACCTGCTCTGTAGCTTTTCTGACCCCTGCTTGTGCATATACCTCCCAGCTGCAATAAGACAATAACTTCGTTCTTTTGAGTTCCTTAGGAATGTGATGACCCCCAAACAGAGAGTCTATGCTGATAGCTATCATCAATGACAACTGAAAGATCTGGTGTGGTGACTCTTGGGTCAAAATTCTGACCTCCCCCCCTATAACCCACTGGCCTATATAACTGCTTCAAGATTCTGTGCCCCCCTTAAGATGATTCCTTTGGACATTGGACGTTTGGAAGTCGGCCATCTTCCCTCTTGCTTGCAAGCTGTAATAAGATGCCCTTTCTCTGCCACCATCTTGCCTCTTGACGATTGGCTTTATCTTGCAGTGAGCAGATTGTGCCCTTTGTGCGGCAACACTCATTTATACTTAGGGTTACGAAAATAAAACATGACATATTGGTGTTTGGTAAAAATCTCGTAAGGGACCCCAAGGTGAGAATGTTGTTGTCCTTTGCATTTTGTGGTCTGGGCTCTGTCTTTTCTCTCTTTCTCTGTGGGGACTGTGTGTGTTGGGGTGGTTCTGCTTTCTCTCACTTTGGCTAGGTTACTTTCTCTGTTCCTTTCTGTGTCTCACTCTTTGTGTTGTTCCTGAAGGTCTTCTCCCAGCTCTCTTCTAGCATCTCTAATCTACCCAACTCTTTTGAATTTTTTTCTCTCTTTACTTTCCCCCTTTCTCTCTTCTTTGTCTCCTTTATTGTCCATTGGGTAGGCTATTTAGGATTGTTTCTGTTGGAAGTGACAGACAGATTCAAATTGGCTTAAACCAGCAAAAAGGTTGTATTCTTGACTCTCATAAAGGGGATGCCAGTCTGGCTTCAGGTACACATGGCTTCAGGGATCTATCCAATGTCAGCAGGCCCCAGTATCTCCCGTCTTTCAATTCAGCTGTCCTCTGGTTGGTTTCCATCTCAGACTCTTTGTAGAGACAAGATCAAGGTCTCTAACCACTGACTTTGTCCAGCATTTCGGACCTGCAGACGCATCTCTCTCTCAGTGGTTTGAACAAGAGTTCTCCACTTTTGGTCACAGTGTAAACCTCTGAACCAGTATCTGTGGTCCAAGGGGTGGAGGATCCTGACTGGCTTAGGCCCAAATCCTATGCTGCCCCCATCTCTGCCATGTGGAATGGAGACTCCTGGCAGGTGGGAGAGCACTGCTACCAGAAGACAAGCGAACAGATTCTGGGGCACAAAAATGACAAATGTCTATTACAGAAGTTTGTATTTTACACTTCTATTTTGCCAATTCCTCTTAAGATAGTAGGATGGCCTATACTGATTTTTTTCTTATTTTCAAATGAGTATTTTAAATGTTAAAATGAACATTCATTTTAGACAACTTAGAAAAAGGTGAGAAGGAAAAACTAGCAAATGCAAATCAAATTACTCTTATTTTGGTAACCCTTGACGTCTTCCCTTCTCTTCCTCACTGCTTTCTTACTGGTAGGGTTGCCAGACAAAATACAGAATGTTGGTTGACTTTGAATTTCAGATAAACAATCAATATTTTTTTAGTATAAGTATGTCCCAAATATTGCATGAGACATTCTTTTACTAAAAATTTATTTGTTTATCTGAAATGCAGATTTAACTGGCATCCTACATTTGTATTTGCTAAATCTGTCAATCTGTGTGCTACTGAGGATCTATTTTAAGTTTTCTACCCTTAAGATACACCAGGAGCCTCAACTGGGAGAATCGTTATCCTGTCTCCGGACATCAGAAAACAGATGGAAATACTTATGTATCATGATACAAAATTAAGAATGGGAGGTTAAACCATCCTCTCGTGATTATTCCACAAATCTTGACTTTTTAATCATTCTATAATATCTCCCTATATTTCAGTGTTTCTTAAGCAGGCCACATTCTTAGTATTATGCAAAATTTAAGCTAGGCTCTTGCCCTTTTGATCTCAGTGGAATGCCCTAACTTAAGTATTCTTCCTTACAACACAGTCATCATTCTGCTCTCTTCCTGGGCCAGGCTCTACGCTCCTTGGGGGATTTCTAACCTTCCCAGGCGATCTGTGCTTACACTGATGTTCACAAGTGGTTAAGCAGCTTGCCCAAAGTAATTAATTACTTGTTTATAGTTTCCCCAGTGCTTAAAAACACTGATCAGTAACCCGTGTTAATTATGTATATATGTGTTGGGTTGTAGTTGGGGACAGAAATCATATGAAGCCTTCACTGGAGTGTGGTCTATTCTTATTTTTGAAAGAAATTCCTCCTGACCTGGTCTGTGACATTAATCGCGACTGTGCCAACACCTTCATCAAGTTTTTACTGGAAAAACAGAAATGGCCCGAAGTGCTTCTGCTGCTGACCCGCAAAGTCAGTGGGGAGCCGCCGCTCGGAGACGGCCTCATCAAAGAGTGCGACCTCTCGGCCCTCGACCTCTGTGCCATCATCCCCCAGCTCAGCACCTGGGACCAGCGGAGGACACAGCTCCTGGGCTGCCTGATAGATGGTGGAGGTGAGATTGCCTGGATGATACACACTGGAGAGTGGTCCAATGGGAGTCCAGGCTACCACCTGTCACGGGGTCTCCACTTGATTGTGGAGAATCCTTTAAATCCTGCCTCATTCTCTGCCTCCACATCTTCTCATTTTGAAACAGTGATGGGTTTAATGCCCCGTCAGTGGGTGTTGCCCTGTAGGAACTCTGCATTTTCATGAATTCCAGTTCCTCTGTTGTCGTCTCTTTCTGTCTTGTGTGAGAAGCCTCAGTCAGGTATGTGGAGGGGCTCCTGGGCCCTGGTGTAGCTCACTGCGATTGTTTCCTCCTGACCCCCTGCTGGACTTCCCTGTGCTCAGTATGCCACCTGGGTCCTTGTCGGCTCTGTGGCATTCTTTTCTCATCAACGGATTGGGATTTGAAATGCTTGTTTTTAAAGAAACAGCCAAATAATTGGTGGATGGAGTCATCTGCCACTTTCATCAGCACAGTCACACTTGGCTGGCTGTGTGTCTGGAGTGTGCAGACGCCTTGCAGGATTGGGTTTTACTTTAAAACTCGTTTGGAAACACCAGCCTCCTCCTGCCCCTACCTCCCACCCCTACTAATGCTGCTACTAACTGTGGCCTTGGGCAGGCTATTTATGCCTTCATCTCCTCATTTATAGAATGGGAATGATCATAGCCCCTCTTTTTTAGGGTGTTTTGAATATTAAGTGCGTTCATGTATGCTGACTCTTGGAAGAGCACCTTGGCTGTGTGGTTTTCTGCTTGTGTTGCTGTTTAAGGGGAAATGCCCTTCAGAAGGAGCAATGGCACATTGGTACTCAGCTCTCAAAGTGCCATACAGAGCCTTTGGGCATTGGCTCTACTCACGGGTTTCAGGAGGTAGATGGAATGTCTCCTCCAGTTTATTTCTTCAAACAGTCCTTGCATGGAGTGTTACTACCTTTGCCCGGAAACCGTGGCTGTCATGGAATTCCTGTTTTATTCCTGATTCAGCAAGCACATATTGAGCACCTCCCTGGGATCAGGCGCACGGGACCCAGGACAGAGAGTAGATGCATGGCTGCTGGAGGCATGCATAGAAGGGCTGCAGATCTGCCGTGGGTAGAGGTCAGGGAGCCTGCAGTGCAGAGGGGAGGTGTGGACTCAGCTAAAAGGAAGGCATGTGGGGGTGGAGAGGTGTCAGGGAAGATGGCAGTTTGAGGGTGGACAGGCATCTTGGGAAGAAGCTTTGCAGAAGCATAGGCTGTAGGAAGCAGTGCTCATGTCTTGATCACCGACTATATGTCAGGTTTGGTGTTGAGCAAGCACTGGGATTTTTTTTTGTTTGTAGGCCCTGTCCCCTCTCCAGGGCAGTGCTACTGGTGGGGTCCATGGTCCTGTGGTGTGATGAGACGGGGAGCTGGAGAGGTGGGAGGGCCAAGGCCCTTGGACACTTGAAGGAGTTGGGCTTCCACTCTGAGGATACTGGGAAGCCTTTGCGTCCCACAAAGGGTGGTGGTAGGTGGGCCTCGAAAGTCGCTCAGCATCAGCTCTTCCCTAGGAATAAATGGCAGAAGCAGTCCCGTCCTCCTCAGGTGAGCCAGGCTGTGCCTCATCAGAGAGCTGCAACTCACAGTACCCTTGTCCTCTGCCTCCTCCAGCCTTGCCCGAGGGTCTCCAGGACAGCCGGGAGAAGCCGCTGGTCATGTGCCTGAAACGTGAGGACTTCGAGTTGGCTTTTCTTCTCTTGACCAAGGGTGCAGACCCCCGCAATATTTCTATCACGGAAGGCGATACTCCTTTGCATGCAGCACTCCACATCTTTTTAGATACCAAATGTAAGCCTTTATTTCTTAAGCAGTCTTTTCCTTGAGGAGGAAGCTGGATATCAGAACTGATGCTATGCTTTTTGGTCTCTCCTGCTGGGAAAACCAACAATCTGGGAAAGGCTCGTTTCTTGGCCAGGGCTGCGCATATCTGGTCCTCACCCATAGCTTGATGGGAAGGAGTGACCATCCTGGTGTGGATGGTCAGAGTGAGTTGACTGATGAGGATGCTTAAGTTTCAAAGTTGGCTGTCCGTAGCTGACAAATACTTTACATTTATTTACTCCATTTTCAAGGGTCCTGACATAAAGAGTCTTATTGGAATATTATAAAGTTATTTCAGGGTTTCTCATCCTTGGCACCATTGACTTTGGGCTGGGTAATTCTTTGCTTTGGGGGGCTGTCCTGTGCATTGTAGGATGTTTAGCAGCATCCCTGGCCTCCACCCACTAGATGCCAGTAGCACCTCCCAAATTGTGACAGTCAAAAATGTTTGTAGACATTGCCAAATGTCCCCTGGGGAGCAAGTCGCCCCTGGTTGAGAACCCCTGGGTTATCAAATACTTGGGGAAGTTCAGTGTTCTGAGATGCCTCTGGCTGGCATCTCTTTCAGATCCAGGGGTCTCTGTTCCCTGAGAAGAGCAGCTCAGCACTCACAGGTTTTGTTTGTGTTTTTCAGCTGACATTGGTTTTAGCTTCCTCAGCCACCTGTTGGATCTATTCTTGTCCAACCCCACTGAATTTCACTACCTCAATCCCAACACCCAGGACGGTAATGGGAACACGCTGATGCACATCCTCTTCCAGAAGGGCATGATGAAGCGCATGAACAAGCTGATAGATCTGCTGGTGAAGTTTGACATCAACTTCAACCTGAAGAACAAAGAAGGCAAAGACGCACGGCACCGGATTAAGAAGAATGATGCTCTGCTCTTGGCCTGGAACAAAGCCCTGACGGAGAGCAGGCGGAAGAGCCGGCAGGACTCTGCTGCCCACTCGAAGCTCCTGAAGTCGGCTGCCCCTGGTCATGCGTCTCACCTCAAGTCCCAGGTTTCATCCAAGTCTCCACCATGCAGTGTCACCAGAACCCTGCCCGAAGGAACCGTGGTTCCTGACAGCTGGGAGACTCCTGTGGATGCTCAGGTGATGAGGCAGGGGCCTGGAGCTGGCAGGCCCTGCTCTCTGAGAGACCGCCTTGTGCAGAACATCACAGTTTTGATTCAGCAGGTTGAATTGGATACGTCCCTCCCAGAGGACTGTCCTCAGGTCTCTAAGCCTCCAGAGACAGGAGCTGGCACAGACGTGAAGAAAGACAAGCTCCAACGAGCCCTGGGGCCAGGGGGCTCTGACTGTAGTGGGAACAACCCTGCCCCCCATAGAGCAGGAGAAGGGCATGCTCAGGCAGGCCTTGGGGCCTCGCAGCTCATTCCTGCTGGTCACAGAAGGAAGGAGGGTGGCGAAGATCAGGACGACTGGAGTGTGCAGGAGATTGAGGCCTGCCTCCAGGACTTTGAGAACATGACGTGGGAGATTGAGTGTACTTCTGAGATGCTGAAGAAGCTGTCCAGTAAGGTAATGTCCAAGGTCATGAAGAAGAAAATCATCCTAGCCATCCAGCAGCTGGGGAACGGTGAGTGGACCCAGGGCCTGCAGAAGCGGCTGAAGCACCTGAAAGGAAGCATCCAGCTCTTTGAGGCCAAGCTGGACAAAGGAGCCCGGATGCTGTGGGAGCTCGCCATTGACTTCTCCCCTCGATGCAGTGAGAACCCAGAGAAGATCATCGCCACAGAGCGGAACTCGCACTCTGTGGAGAAGTCAGGGCGCGTCTACACAGAAATCATCCGGATCTGGGACATAGTTTTAGATCACTGCAAACTGTCGGACTCCATCAGGGCCATCTGCAATGCCTACAACCGTGGCTTGTCTTGCATCCTGCGGAAGAAGCTGAAGGGTATCAATAAAGGCCACGTGGTAGCCAACATGAAAATCCAAAATCGGATACCCCGCTGCTATGTGGAGGACACAGAGGCCGAGAAAAGCAGGGAGCACGTGAACCCCGAGTACTTCCCTCCAGCCAGCGCAGTGGAGACAGAGTACAACATCATGAAGTTCCACAGCTTCAGCACCAACATGGCCTTCAACATCCTCAATGAAATGACAGCAACGGTGGAGTACCCCTTCCGGGTGGGCGAGCGCGAGTATGCTGTGATCAACATTAACCCCAGGCCACTGGAGCCCATCATCCTCATTGGGCGGAGCGGCACTGGGAAGACAACTTGCTGCTTGTACAGGCTGTGGAAGAAATTCCATGTTTACTGGGAAAAAGCCGAGCAGGCAGGAAGCCCGCTGTTGGCCAAACAGATCTGGCTGAAGAGAAGGTTGGAAGTGGAACCCGAAAAGGAGGGTCCAGGTGGGGAGGAAGAGGAAGAAGAGGAGGAGGAGGAGGACGATGACGAGGAACAGGAAGGGTCCACTGAAGTGGAAACAGTGGAGAGCATAGATGAGGAGCAGGAGAGTGACGCCTGTGTGGGGGGAGCCAGTGGGGAGCCAGGAGGGTCTGGCCAAGCAGCAGAAGTATGCACCTCAGAACATCCTCACCAGCTGGAGCATTTACATCAGATCTTCGTGACCAAGAACCACGTCCTGTGCCAGGAGGTGCAGAGGAATTTCATTGAACTTTCCAAGTCTACCAAGGCCACCAGTCACTACAAACCGTTGGAACCCAACGTTCACAAACTCCAGGACCTGAGGGACGAGAACTTTCCTTTGTTTGTCACTTCCAAGCAGCTGCTCCTCTTGCTTGATGCTTCTATGCCCAATCCATTTTTTCTGAGAAATGAAGACGGCAGTTTGAAAAGAACCATCGTAGGATGGTCCACGCAGGAAGAGTTGACCATCCCCAACTGGCAGGAGGATGAGGAGGAGGCTGAGGTGGATGGGGACTACAGCGAAGAGGATAAAGCTGTGGAAACACGTCTCTGTGAGAGTGACCCCCGGGTGTACGTGACATTTGAGGTGTTCACTAATGAAATATGGCCCAAAATGATCAAAGGGAAAACCTCCTACAACCCTGCCCTGATTTGGAAAGAAATAAAATCTTTTCTGAAGGGGTCTTTTGAGGCCCTCAGCTCCCCCCAGGGGAGACTCACAGAAGAAGAGTATAAGAAATTAGGGAAGAAGCGGTCCCCTAATTTCAAGGAAGACCGAAGTGAGATCTACAGTCTCTTTTGCCTGTATCAGCAGATCAGGTCTCAGAAAGGTTATTTTGATGAAGAGGATGTTCTGTACAACCTGTCCCGGAGGCTGTCAAAGCTCAGGGTGCTTCCGTGGTCCATCCATGAGCTGTATGGTGATGAGATTCAGGACTTCACTCAAGCGGAGCTAGCACTGCTGATGAAATGCATCAATGACCCCAATGCCATGTTCCTCACTGGGGACACAGCCCAGAGCATCATGAAGGGCGTGGCCTTCCGCTTCAGTGATTTGCGCTCTCTGTTCCACTATGCCAGCAAAAACACCGTAGACAAGCAGTATGCCGTCCGGAAGCCCAAGAAGATCCATCAACTGTACCAGAATTACAGGTCCCATTCAGGTATGTCCAGGTCTTGGGCTCGCCTGCAGGGAGGTGCTTGGGCACTGACCTTGGGCTGCTTTTGAAGCTGCAGCCTAGATTTTGTTAGGCTTTTGTAGCTGAAGTGAGGAAGGTATTTCAGAGTGTGTTAGTAAATAACACTCATGAACTAGAGATCTTATGATTTCTGCCACTACTCATTCTCAGGTTGATAATTCAAGCTGTGGTTCAGTGGAAGTGAAGTTTTAAGTAGTTACATCTTAGGAAGTTTGCCACAACATGAGAACATTTTCAGGGGAACGTTGAAACTGCTTGAGAACTTCTGTTACAGCACTTCGGAAGCGTCTGCTTATGCAATATAAAGTAATACACCAATTACAAGGCATTAATCCTTAAAGCAACTTCTCTCCCAAAGAGAAGCGAAAAAGGAGGGGTGGGAGGTGCTGGGAGATAATGTACACTCAGGTGCTTTTACTTTGTACCTCAGTTGTGCCCCTTCTCTGTGCCAGGCACGATGCTAAGCAGTTTTTGTATGGTACCTGTGCTTAATCCTTATACCACCACCACGAGGTAGGCATCATTCCCGTTTTACAAAGCAGGAAACTGAGGCACAGAGGGTTTAAATAACAGGACACCAATGCCAGAATACTACCTTTATGGCTTACAGAATGTTCACAAATTCACCTCCTGTGTCGTACGTGTGTCCATGAACAATATAGAGTATTATTTTACACATCTAGAAACTTTATTTAGTGGGATCATGCCAGACACATCTTTCAGCAACTTCGTATTTTTACTTAATGTTATGTTTTGGGATTTCTGCATGTTGATAATGTGGAGCTCTGGTCCATGCAATTCTAATCACTGTTAGTATTCCATTTTATGACTATGCTGCAACTTCTTATCCACTTTCCAGTGATGTACGTTAGGTTCCTGCCTATTTTTTACTGTGACATACAATCCTGGAGTGAATCTTCCTGAGCAAATCTCTTTGGGTCTATGTTATATCTTCTTGCTTTGCTCTCCTGGTGGGTGTGAAATGACATCTGCTGTGGTTTGAATTTCCATTTTCCTGAGAAGTGGCATCTTTTCATGTGTTTCCTGGCCGTTCTGTATTCTGTGAATGGCCTGTTCTACTCCTTTGCTCCTTTTTTAATGAGTTGGGTTTTTTTTTATTGATTTGTTAAGAATTCTCTATGGATTTTGCCTTCACGTCCTTTGTTGGTTATGTGTATTGCAGGTTCTTTCCCCAATTATGTGGATTGTCTTTTTAACTTTATTAATGGTAAGAAGGTATATAATTAATTGTGCTCTTTAGTAGGCAGATACTTTTAAATTTTAACTTGTGAATATTTTAAGATTTGCTTTTTTGTGTCTTAAGAAATCCTTCTGATCTGGAGTTAAGATATTCTCCTCTATAGTCTTCTAATGGTTTAAAATTTTGCTTTTCATGTTTAGACAGATTTAAATTTGGGTCAATTTAATTAATTAAGTTTAATCTAAAATGTATGTGTGGTGTGATATTGTCTTTATTGAAATAACCCTTCTGTGATCTAACTTTACTTTTTTCCATATGGATAATCAGTTGCGCTGACACTGTTTCCTCATACTCCATCCTTCCTCTGATTTGTAATGCTGCTTTTTTTGCATGTCTGTGAATCTGTTTTTGGCATCACTATTTTATTTGATTTGCCTTTTTTGTCTATTCTTGTGCTATTATCACAGTATCATATTTATGATAGTTATCAAGCTTCAATAACCACTTTTTGTAATTTTGGTTAGAATTTCATTGAATTTGTTGCTCTTTGGGAAGAATTCTCATCTTTACGTTATTGGGATTTCTGAACCATAATCTTGACGTATTTCTCTATTCAGGTCTTCTTTTATTGCCTTCAATACTATTTTATAATTTTCCCCAGACATTTTACACAGCTGTTAGATTTGTCCCCAATGGATCTTATACTTTTTGTTACTATGATGGCTGCCATTTTTTAATTTTTTTATATTTTCTAATCAGTTGCTATTAGTGTGGAGGAATGCCATTGGTTCTTGTATGTTGATCTGATATCTAACAATCTTGCTTATCTAACATTCTAACTTTTAGATTTTGGCATTTTTCTGCAGATATAGACAGTTTTTATCTTCTTTTCCATACTTGTCATTTGTTTTTCCTATCATATTTCATTGGTTACAACCTTAAATAGAAGTGATAGGCATCTGTGTGTTATTTCTCAAGTTAATAGAAATATTTCTAACATTTCACCTTTTAAGTCTGATGTTTATTGTAGGTTTTTGACGGATGCTCTTTTCGTAGATTCATTTCACATAGGTTTTGGTTTGATGAAAAGAGAAAACACTTATATACCACACACATATACATATACTTACACACACACATCCATACACATACACACATACACACACACATTGTAAAATTAGATTACAATTCTGATTTGTTTAGCCAAGGATTCAGAAGACATTTAAAAAATCAGGTAGCCTCCCGGAGTATAGCATACACAACAGAATTCAGCCCAGCTTTCCAGGGCTCTTGAAGTCCCCACTGATGTTGCCCATGAATCACAAGATCTTGATGGTTTTGAGCAGCTCAACTTCTTGCTCTTCCATGATCTTACACCTGGGACTCTTGCTGTGTGGGAAGAGCTGGTGCAAAGTAATTTATGTTCTTAATAGGAAATACTAGCCCTTCCCTTCCCTCATGTGTTGAGGAAACATTTATTGAGCTCCTACCCTGCCTGGCAGTGTGTGGAGGCTGGGTGACCATGACTCATAGCTCATGTTTCTTTGTCCTCAGGTTGTGGCTCCAGTGGCATCCTCTCTTCCATTGTTGGGTCCAGTAGAGAGGACTTGGCATGGTAGTTGAATGAGCCCCTCTTTCTGATGTGTACCCCTGGTTCAGCACCACTCGTCTGGGGCCAGCAGCTTTCATGATCAGCGAGATAGAGCATGGCAAAGGGAGTTGTTCCTATTATTTTTTTTTGCTAAATAACCCACTTGGACAATTACTATATAAACCCCATCTCCCACCTCCACTCTTGAGATGGAGGGAAGACTGTGTGTATTTGTTTCTGTAGAAAGAACCAGAAAAAGCCCAAATAATATGTACTAGATTTTAGAGACTTTGAATAGAGACTTTAGAAAACGCATACAATTTTAAAAAGAATTACAAGCTACCTGTAAGGCCGCTCACTACTAACATTTTCTTTCATTTCCTTCTGCTCTTATTTCTTTATATACATTATATGCATTTATCACACACGTGAATATATACTATGTTTAGTGAATATTTTCCCCTATCTTTTATTTATTTGTTTTTTAAAGATTGGCAACTAAGCTAACAACTGTTGCCAATCTCTTTTTTTTCCCCGTCTTCTTCTCCCCAAAGACCCCCCAGTACATAGTTGTATATTCTAGTTGTGAGTGCCTCTCGTTGTGCTATGTGGGCCACCTGCCACAGCATGGCCTGATGAGCGGTGCCATGTCCACACCCAGGATCAGAACCAGTGAAACCCTGGGCCGCTGAAGTGGAGTGTGTGAACTTAACCACTTGGCAGCGGGGCTGGTCCCTGTTCTTTTTTTAAATTGAGATTCACACAGCATAACAACCATCTGTTTAAAATGTGCAATTTAGTGGTTTTTAATATATTTACAAGGTTGTGTGACCATTACCACTATCTAATTTCAGAACATTTTCATTGCCCCAAAAAGAAATCTCATAACTGTTAGCAGTCACTCCTCATCCTCTCCTTGTCTCTCCCTGGGAACTACTAATCTTTCTGTCTCTCTGATTTGCTTATTCTGGACATTTCATGGAAATGGAACCCTGCCATACGTGGCCTTTGGTGTCTGCTGCTTTGGCTTACTGTTTTCAGGGCTCACCCATGTTGTAGCATGTATCAGTCCTTCATTCCTCTTTATTGCAGATCTACCTTTTATTCTTTGAGTATGTTCATGTAAAAAATTATTTATCTTGCTCCCCAGAAGGCTGTTTAAGTGGATTCCAGATTTCCACTATAGTCAACACTTTTGTGCCCTTTTCTGACTCCCCCATTAGTGTACATCCCTGCCTTTGCTGGCTCTTAGTGGGGAGGGAACCACAGCAGCAGCTGATTTGCTTAGATTCAGCAGTTTCCACCTGTCCTCATTGATTTATACTGTATACTTTTAATAATAGTCGTATTGGATAGTAAAATTTCCCTTTACTGTTAGGTAATAGCAATGGGGACACATAAGTCCATTCCATGCGGTTCTACCAAGAACATGGTATTCTATCTGGTATCAGGCAAAGGGCACATGGCCCATAAGAATAGTGCAGAGACCCAGGATGATCTGTGTTTAATCCAGCTTCAAATCCTGTCACTTGGAGGTGTTTACTAACTTCTCAGACCTTGGAGTTCCAGTTGGTAAAAGCAGGATTGTCTAATTTGTCTCACTGGGATGTTGTGAAGATTCCACAGGGTGATTTTTCTGAAGGTGCCTGTTGTATGGGAGTATTCAGTCCGAATCACTGTCAGGGTTACTTCAGAGCTTACACAAAAATGGGACACAGGGAGAAAGCTCTTTGGAAAATCCTTTCTCCACCTCTGACAATTTTTCTTAGTATAGTCCTTTCTCAGCTGGGTATAAACTTGGTGGAAAAGGGCAGTGGAGGCTGTGGTTGCTGCCCCCAGCTCACATCCAGCACTGCTGTTCCCATGTTCCCATGGTAACGTTGTCTCCAGTGCTCTAAGCACCAGTGAGAGGGGACAGGATAGTTCTTGCTTCCTTACCATCTATACTAGCGTCGTCTTTTAGCATTTTAACAGCTCTAATTGTTTAGATTACATTTCTGCTTTGACTTTATAGGTAATTTTCCCTAACATAAATGCAGGTTGGGGATGAGATCCTATAAAAATCTCCTTAGCACAGCAACACATTTCTGCCTTCATCCACTGGACCCATAGTAATACAGCTCAGAGCCCAGGTGGTAATCTAATGGGAAATGGAAATTGGCTTGCAATTATATATACTATCAGGGCCAATACTACTTCTCAGGGAAAAAAATAAAACCGAAAGAAAAAAACAACCCCAAAAAAACCCAGCCGTGTTGTCATGTTGTTCAGGGTCTGATGTGTTCTTTGTTTCATCCCAGGAATCCTCAATCTGGCGTCTGGAGTGGTAGATTTACTTCAGTTCTATTTCCCAGAATCTTTTGATCGCCTTCCAAGAGATTCTGGCCTCTTTGATGGTCCCAAACCAACTGTCCTAGAGTCTTGTAGTGTAAGCGACTTGGCAATTTTGCTTCGAGGGAACAAAAGGAAAACCCAGCCCATTGAATTTGGAGCCCACCAGGTGAGCTTCTTGGGATCGTATGTTTTGAAATAAAAGGCGGTTTGCATTTGAAAAATAGTTTGAGAAGCTGAATTATTCCACAAAGTAGAATCAACAGTCCCTGTCCCAGAATGGGTAAGTTTCAGAGATGGATGAGTGACTCATTGTTAATATTTTCACTAGCCTGACTGACCAAGGCCATACTGGCCACTTCTCTTTAAAAACATTACATGCCTCTCATAGAAGTAGACTGGGCTTTCCCAGATTCCTCTTTGTAGAATTTGATGTTTTTTTCTCCCCATCTTCATTTTTTTTTTCCCCAGGTAATTCTTGTAGCCAATGAAATGGCAAAGGAGAAAATTCCAGAAGAACTGGGGTTAGCACTTGTGCTAACAGTTTATGAAGCCAAAGGCTTAGAATTTGATGATGTCCTTCTTTACAACTTTTTTACTGATTCTGAGGTACGTCATACTGAATTCTCTTCACACAACGCATGTATGTGTATGAGCTACACTTATACTCTGAGAAAGAGAATTTGGAGCTGAGTAGAAAAGAGTTTATCACAGGTGCCTGTTTCTGTTTTGGAGCATCATCCATTTGTTGTGGGGCTTTGTGTGTTTGGATGTGGGTTGTGACAATGGCTGTGTGTTGTTTCATAGTGTGTCATGGGCTGGTTCTCCCTGTGCCCTGTCCTTTCCTGCTCTCTTGTTCGTCTCTTCTCAATGCCTGGTACCCAAGTGCCAGCTTCCGTTTTTCACTTGCTGCTGTTATCCTTGGCTCCCAAGGATGCTCAAGTTGGAGCAAGCTCTAAGGAAAGCCTTACAAGTGAAGGTAAGGTTAGCAGTGTCCACCTTATGAGGACAGAACTGGGCAAAATCATTCATAGAAAGAGACAACTCCAGGAAAACAAATGAGGCTTGATTCCTGCCCACTGGATCAGGTAATGAGGGGGACGAGAGCAGCCGCCTTGCCTGGGAGCTCTCTTCTGGCATGGCTTCCCCGCCACTGCTTGCCGCCCATGCAGATGATGTCAGTATAAGAGTCCCTGGATTGGGGCTGGCCCCGTGGCCGAGTGGTTAAGTTCGCGCACTCCTCTGCAGGCGGCCCAGTGTTTCGTTGATTCGAATCCTGGGTGCGGACATGGCACTGCTCATCAGGCCATGCTGAGGCAGCGTCCCACATGCCACAACTAGAAGGACCCACAACGAAGAATATACAACTATGTACTGGGGGGCTTTGGGGAGAAAAAGGAAAAAAATAAAATCTTTAAAAAAAAAAAAAGAGTCCCTGTATTGACCTCCAGTGACTTCTGTGCTAGCCCATTGCTTTGACTTGGCTCCTGAGTCCTTGTGATGATCTTTCTCCCCAAGCTCAGTACATTATGGGTAGAGCCACCAACTCAAGGCCATTGTCCTTGGTTTTCTAGCCACTGGTTTCTCTTCACCAGCATCTTTTGGTGAGGGCTCAGACTGGCTGCTGACTGCTCTGTGGGGTCTCCTTTGAGAACTTAGCTGGCTGTGTCCTGTTCTCTGTTGCAGACTTCCTGCTGCACATGGTGCATGCTTGAAGGAGCTGTTTTTCATCCCCAAGTCAGGAGCACTGTTAGCTTTGACACCTTAAAATCTGCCCCAGAACTGACCTTTTAGGTGGAGTCCTTATGTTTTTTTCCTGTTCTTTTTTTTGTGTCACATTTGCCTTGATAATACCTATGATTAATATTTCTATGGGTGCTTTGCAGTTTATAAAGTACTTTTTGAATGAATTGTTTCACTGCATCCTCTGCCAACCCTCGTGGGTTGTATGTATTTTTATTACCCTCATTCTATAGATAAAGCCAAGGGTCATGGAAATTAAGTAAATTACCCACAGGCATAATATAGGTGGCAGAGCCTGAAGATGAACTCAGGTGCTCTGAGTTGTAAGTCTCCTGATCTTTCCACTGCACTTCCTTCCTTTTAAAGCCCCGCATGCAGATTGACTTCCAGAAGCTTCCACAATGAGTATATCAGTGCCACACCTTAAGTGCGTTCCTTTTCTATTAATTTTTGCTAATAAAATCAGATGCACTCTTATTAACCCTGGAACCATTTTTACTCTCTGAGGACTTTTTTTTCTCATAATATATCCATTGGTCATGGTTGGACTGAGATTCTCCTAAAAGAGGAAGGGGTAAAACTTTGTTATTCCTGTCCTTATTAAATCCAGATGTATGCTTGTGCTAGTAAGAAGCTCGAGGAGTTCTGGACTTAGGGATCTGTAACTTGTGGTCGACTCTGTGAGAGAAAAACCCAGTTATTCTGTCTCACTTTGATCCTGGAAATGGCAAAGGCCTGGATATCTTGACCCTATGCCTCCACCAATGACTCAGTGAGTTGCACAAAATTAACACAATTGAATCTTTTGGTAACATTCGCTTCATCCTATGTACACCCTACGTACACAATAAGACTTCTTTTTGACTTCTGAGGTCATGCTTCCCAATTACCAGGGAATGTAAATGCATTCGCTGGGACAAAGTACACCCTCAGTTTATCATTTACAACCACAAGACCAAAAAGCGTTAGTCAGCAAATGAGAGGAAATGCTTTACTCAGAGAGGAAAGACAGAGATCACATAAATCCCTAGTCACCCGTGGTTGACTGCTCACGTGGGGTTTCTTTCGGGGTGACTAGCTGGAGGCTGCTGGATAGTAATTGCTATTTGATGTAGGGGAACAGTGGAGAGCTCCTCTCTCCATCTCTGGCCTCTTCTTCCACCCTGTTTGTGTTTCTGGCAGGCACTCTTTTTGCACACGTGTGTGTGCGCCTGTGTGCATGTGTGTGTGTGTGTTTGTGTAGGGGGGTTCTTGTTGCTCTAGTTTGTTATTCTTCTCTCTAGAGGATATTTACTGTTAACCTGTTCAACCACATGGTCACCAGGGCCATCTTCTGAGATGGGGAAGGAACTGAGGAATGGTTACAATAAGTCCTTCTGTTGTAGGATTTTGCCTCATTTTGGAGAGAGGCAGCCATTCTCCCAGTCACCCCCAAACTCTCCTCCTCTGGGGACTCTCCTGCCCCAGCGAGGAGTCCTTTCCTTCACAGTCACATGTGAGTAACACTGGAGGGACTTTGAAAACCACAACTTTTGTGGGTTGCTTAACTAACTTAGAGAACAGACCCCACAACGGTAGGCTTGCTGGTTGAATCAAAGCCCTTTTCCTTTGCAACTGTTAATCCCAATAGAAGAAGCTGGGAGACTTTTAAATGCTTCCTCCTTTCTTGCCAGAAGTGCTGCAGGCCTGTATTCTTGCCACAAATACACATTCTCACTCCTAGAAGTCTATCTTGAAAGTAAAATGTGTTTTGTTCACGGAAACAGGTTAGTCATGTATGTGCCATTCGAGCAGCTTTTGCTTCTCATTCAGCAGTTTTAAAATACATAGGACATCACTAGCTCTCCAAGGTCAGCGGTCTGCGCCTCCTGCTGTCTGCCGCGGGAGCCTCCCAGATCTCAAGCACTTGTGTCTTTTCCTGCTTTCTTTGGCAAACGATTCAGCTGTGTAAACAGGTTTACAAAGAGGACAGTCATAAACATGTCCTAAAGTTTTTTTTTACCTTCCAACTACTTAAATGATTATGTGATTCATATCTCTTTTCAGAACATGGTGATTAATTCCATAATTGGTTAGTGGCGTAGCCATTTTTATTTAGTACATAGTGTTTAAAGCATTTAACCTAATATTTATATAGTTTAGGTAATGGAGTAACTTAAAGGAGGTCAGGAACTGTGCCCACCCCATGTTTTCATCATTCTTGAGAAGGTACATAAGTGGCAAGTAGCCCCTTTTATAAATCAAAAAGTAAAGGCTAGGAAAGTTGGCTACCTACTCTTGAGACACGGTAGAGTATGAAATCTGAAATTTCATAGGAATTCTGGACTCTCAATACTGCATGTAATCTGGGCACTTTGGCTTCACTGGGGTCTGTAAACCATGATCTGGGGGCCGAATCCAGCCCATGGCCTGTTTTGGATGGCCTGTGGGTTAAGAATGGTTTTTACAGGGCCAGCCTGGTAGCATAGTGGTTAAGTTTGTGTGCTCTGCTTGGGTGGCCCCGGGTTCGCAGGTTCACATCCTGGGCACGGACTTTCACACCTCTCAATTAAGCCATGCTGTGGCAGCATCCCACATACAAAATAGAGGAAAATTAGCAGAGATGTTAGCTCGGTCACAACCTTCCTCAAGCAAAAAGAGGAAGATTGACAACAGATGTTTAGCTCAGGGCCAATCTTCCTCACCACCACCACCAACAAAAAAACCACCCACCAGAATGGTTTTTACATTTTTAACTGGTTAAAAATAATCAAAAGGAAAACAGTATTCCATGGCACATGAAAATTAGATGAAATTCAATTTCAGTGTTGAAAAATAACATTTTATTGAAACACACCCTGCCTATTCATTTACATATTGACTATGGCTGGTCTTCCCCTATAATAGCAGAATTGCATAGTTGTGAGAGAGACCATAAGGCTCACAAAGCCAAAAATACTTATTATCTGCCCTTTTAGAGATAAAAGTTTGCCAACCCCTGATGTACACAGGTACTATGGTTTTGTGGTTTGACTTTGGGTAAAGGGAAAAATGACTAAAATAGCAACTATTTGTCAAGCATTGTTTTAGACACTTGACATTGATTATCTCCTTTTATTTTCCCAACAGATTCGGGTAGTTCTGTCATTCCCATTTTACAGAGCAGGAAAATGAGACATAGAAGCGATAAACAATTTGTCCAAGGTCGCATAGCTAATAAGTGGAAGAACTGAGATGTAAATTTGTTCTGTCTGTCTGACCTCAGCATCTACCTTGCACAGTGTACCCCACACCTCCTAAATTTTCCATCCTTGGTTAACATAATTTAGTTAGAAAATTTTGTCACATGCGTCTTAATGGCTGCCCTTAAGTGGTATCTCTTAAACACATTGTAGAAAGGGGTGAGGACGCTGGGTTCCTCTCTCCATACTGCTTGTTGAAATTCTTTCAATCAGAAGAACTTCCTGGGCCGTTAGCATTCCTCCTGGGAGTGTGCACATGTGCCTGGCTTCTCAGCTGTCCTGGCCATGTGTCTGGGGGAGTTTTCATGGTAGCTTCCCTGATCCCTGTTTGCACAACATGAACCCCCACCGCCCCCACTCTGAGGCCATAGGATGGCCCCCTCCTCAGAGATGGGGCTGAAGGCCTGACCCCCATGCCAGGAGAAGCGGGGCTTAATTCTCCATGAGGCCCAGAGAGGAGGCTGTGTGTACAGTTCAAAAGCCTATTCCGTTGGTCTTTAATTTGTCGTTGTTGTTCAGGCTTACAAGGAATGGAAGATCATCTCCTCATTTACACCTTCATCATCTGACTCCAGAAAGGAAAACCAGCCACTGATGGAAGTCCCCCTGGAGAAACCCAGCTCCTCTCAGGGCCGGTCTCTCATGGTGAATCTGGAAATGTACAAGGTGATTTCCTGCTGTTTGTCCACATGCTCATTTGACAGGGTGCCAGTGAACAAGGCTTGGACTAGAAGATGAGATTAAAGATGGAGCTTGTACTTCGCTGGTCTTTCTGTACGTCAGTATTGGGGAGGGGAGGAAGGGAATGGGAGTGGCAGGGATCTCAGTGTTGGCAACCTCCCTTTTCTCAGCAGAGATCTGGGTTTGATGGGTGGGGCACTGTCTGAAAGTGGAAGCGGGAGGTTGTATCCTCTGTTCACCTCTGCAACTCTGCTCTATTCAGAAATTTTCCCTTTTGCTGACGGGGAACTCAGAAGTGAAGCCCAGGACTATAGTTAGTGGAGACTGTTGTATACCAGCCTCTACCATTGAGGGACCTGCTTCCCCTTTCCCTTTGCATCCCAGCTACATCACCCAGAAGGAGGCCAAAGCTAAGAAGTTCTGTAGAGTTCTTGACTGAGGGAGGTTGATGAGGGCCTCAAGAGAGTGAGGGCAATATCGCAGGATATTGAACCAGCAAAACCAAAGACTTTGGGAGAAACTACTGTCCTAGTTTTATGTCTGATACAAAGTATAAAACAAATAACCAGAACAGCAGTTATCAGGTTATTTCTGTAAATGCCTATAAGGCTCCAAAGAAATGGAAGTTAAATTATTGCTAAGCTATGCGAACCTCTAGATAGCCACAAATTGGTTGTTGTTTTGAAATGTGCATTATTTAACCAAGTAGGTCCTCCCCGTATGCAAGTCATAGCCCCTTATTTCTGCAATCCTTAGTCATAAGGGAGGTCATGAATAATTTAGTGCTAATGATAGTTATAATAGAAGCATGTGACTGTTGAAGTTTTAAAAATAAGTTACAGTAATTGTGTAGGATGTAACCAGTGGGATAAAGCGAGTGAAAGGTACATGGGACCTCTCTGAACTATCTTTGTAACTCCTTATGAATCTATAATTATTTCAAACTATAGAATGATAGCAAATTCCAGGGCGGCCCTGTACTGAGGGTGTGGTCCCTTGTTAGAGCTTTGTTTATTTGTGCTGCGGCCACTCTGAGCTCCTCATGTCCTGCTCACACCTGTGCTGTAGTTCTCCAAAATTTACTTTTTGTGTCTCTCCAAAATCAGAGTAAGCCCACTGAAGTGTATCCCGTTGTAGCTATAGACAAAAGACTCATTCTTTTTGTTCTCAATCTTGTCTTTAGCTCCTCAATGGCGAGCTGAAGCAGCTGTACACGGCCATCACGCGGGCTCGGGTCAACCTCTGGATCTTCGACGAAAACCCCGAGAAGCGGGCTCCTGCTTTCAAATATTTCATTCGAAGAGATTTTGTCGACGTTGTGAAGACAGATGAAAATAAAGGTAAGCCCTATTAAAATGTTCTCACTGTTGGATAGGAAGCGTGTCACTCTCAACTGTTCTTATGGTTAAGTACAAAAGGTGTAGTTTTTTGAAAGCACTTTCTTTCTTTTCCACATTCCTCTGAGAAAGGAGGGTTCGTGTTTATGGCTAAGGTGTGTAGGAAAGTGGTTGTAATGGCATTGGGAGAGTTAAAAGCTTCAGGGAAGATCTTTTATTTGTCCTTTAAAAGTGAGGGTCCTGGGCGAGGGTTAGAGGAAATAGGTTCTGTTGGGAGAATATGAAGTGCTGTGGGCTTTTGCACAGCTGATTGGCAATATCTGTCAAAATAAAGAATGCACATACCTTTTGACCCAGTGATTCCACTTCTAGAAATCTATCCTAGAGATATTCTTGTATAAAATCTCAAAGATACATACACAAGAATGTTCTTCACAGCCCTGTTTGTAATTATAAGAAACCAAAAACGACCTACGTGTCTACCAATGGGAAACTGTTTATAGTGGCTCCTCAGGTGCTGGGACTGGCGGGTGTGGGGTTGTTGAGTAGATATGGACACCTTTTACTTTCTACCTTTATGCCCCTCTGTGCTGTTGGCAGTGTTTAAAAAAAAAAAAATCATTATCATGTATCGTTTTCATAATTTACGAAGACTAGCTAATTAAAAAATGGAGTAAAGGTGTCCTGATAGATAACTAGGAGAGAAATAATCAGCCCTTTGTGGAGAAAATCGTTGTCTTTCTTATGGGTTAGCTGGTGAGTCGGCTCCTCCAGGCCGTGGTTAATTTCTCCAAGGAAAGGGGAAAGCGCAGGGCTCGCCTGCCGTCCAAAGGTCTGCTGGTTCCCTGAACATTTTACAGCCAGTTTTGTGGAGGCTATTTCTGGTTACAGCCAGTGGCTCAGGTGGGGGCCAGGATTAGATGTTCTGTCCCGTGACCTGACTGTTCTGGTGTAATGGGAAAAGTCAAAGGCTGGGAGTTCACCTAGCTTCTCATTAGAACTCTCCACCTTCGCGGCCATATGACCTTGTTCAGGTCCCGCTTTCTCTCCCTGGGCCTTCACTTCCGCGACCAAAAGGAAAACGAGTGGGTTGGCCTACCATGCATGGTCGTTCTTAATCTTTCCTGCAGCTTATACTCCTTTTATTCTCAAAATATGTTGCTTAGATCATCAAGATAGGCAATTTTTTAAATTTAAAAATTCAAAATGAAAAAGAATTGCAATTTATTTAATGTCTTGGTAGCATTAAGAGTACAAGGAAAAGTATACTCTTATGTGTTCCAGGTTGCATGTGGTAAAGTCGTGAGAACTTCTGTTCCCGCTGTGCAAGGGAGCTTGGGCTGAGTGTAGTGACCATGCAGTTTGGGTTTCTTCAGACGGTGCCAGTGGAGTTCACTGGCCCTATGCAGAGAGACTGTGGGACTTTGCTGTGGGCATAAAATGTCACCAGGGCACTGATTGTGTATACAGAGTCAGAACAAGACACTGCGAAGTCATCTTTGCACACGGTGCTGCAGGGCATGACAGAGGGCCAGCAGGGAGGGGTCAACGTGTGTTTTTGCACCTCTAAACAAAGTTGGCACGTCTGCCTTGCTTCCCTGATTGGTATTCATTGGCCTGGGTGTCCCTGACTCCTCCAGCTCAGATGTGACTGTCAGCATTGTCCTGGTAGTCACTGTCTTTTGTGTGCGTGATGAAGCTGTGGTTCAGACCTGCAGGGAGTGTCGCCCACTGCTGGTGATGCTCAGGGGCCCACTGAGGGGGGTGGTGATACAGTTGCCAGAAGGCTAGTGAGGGTAACAGACGGGTCTGACAGCAGGTGGTTGTGATAGTCTGTGTCCACCAACGAGAATGTGTCAGATTGCTTACTAGGATGAGGGCAAAGTCTGCACATTTGGAAATACTGTAAAATCCTGTCACCTTGTCCCTTGCTAAGGTCCCAGCATGGGAGTTTGCTAAGAGCTGCATGGCTTTGGACTTTCAAGGAGAAATTAGAAATTACCATCTGTCTTCTAATTCATAGCCATAGAAATGGAAGGTAGACCAAAGTTCAAACACCAAACAGCATCCTTTCTCATCCCCACCTCCTCCTTCCAAAACCTACAACCGCCTGGCTTGGTAAGCTAAAATATGTATTAAGTGAAGACTGGAAAGACAACGCGGGTGTGTCTATTTGCTAGGGCTGCCATAGCAAACCACAGGCCGGATGGCTTACACAACAGAACTTTATTGTCTCACAATTCTGGAGGCCACGAGTCCAAGATGAAGCTGTCGGCAGGTTTGGTTTCTTCTGAGTCCTCTCTCTGTGGCTGGCAGATGGCTGTTCCTCTGTGCAAGCCCCTGGTGTCTCTTTGGATGTATTAATGTCCTCCTCCTGTAAGGACATCAGTCAGATTGGATTAGGCCCACCGTAACAGCACATTTTAACTCAATCATCTCTTTAAGGCCCTGTCTCCAAATACCGTCACATTCTGAGGTACTGGGGGTTAGGGCTGCAACATAGGAATTTTTGGGGTCAGGGGACAAAATTCAGCCCATAACAACAGGTTTAAGTGAATGAACACCCAGAGAAGCAAACCCACTTTTCTTTTTCATTCTAGACTTGGATGATAGCATGTTTGTTAAGACCTCAACCCCTAAGGAGTGGATCGCACAAGGAGATTACTATGCTAAACACCAGTGCTGGAAGGTAAGGGGCTGGACCCGGAGCCGGGGCCGGGGCGGGGGGCAATGAGGTCTTTGTATCCGGTGGCCCCATCAGGCCTCACAGGCAGGTTGCTCACCATCAGCGTTTGTCACCAACACAGGGTGAGGGTAATAGCGCTTGTGCCACTTCTTCTGAAGCATCAGGTCACCCATGATGAGGAGAGCTCCCCGTCCTGCTCCTTCCCCAGAAGCAGGCATGACAAGCCTTCATTTTGGCCAAGTGCTGATAGGAAAATGCAAGGTCATGGCCTCTGCCCCACCAACAAATCCTTCTATTTATTTTCTTTCCCTCCTGTACTCTATGCCTAAAAGCTTTTGCTGTCATCATACTGCATTTTAAAACAGCGACAGATTGGTCCCCTCATTTGTTTTTCAAATTGATCACACATAGACTTGCCTGCCATTCTGAATCTGGTGGGCATAGTTCAGCTTTATCACTAGACTGAGCTGACTGATTTCCAGCCACAAGCCATCTAGGCGAGCCTGAGCGGTCTTCTCCCGGGAAGTGTTGTCCCTGCTAGTCCTCTTGAAATATTGAAACCAGCTGGAAGAGCCTGATCCCTTTCCCCGCAGTCAGCATCCCTCCACGTCCCATGGTCTCAGAGGGTGCACCACTGCATGTGTCTCTCCCGTGATGCAGTGTTAAGGATGTCTTCACCTGGAGGTCCCAAACATCCTATGAAAATGATGGGAGTGGTGTTTTTCATCCAGTAACAAGAAGTCTGGCCTCAGGGTTGGTTCTGCAGTTCAGGAAAGTCAACATGGGCCCAGTCTCATTCCATCTCTTCCATGCATCATCTGCAGTTTATGAGAGATGTCCCCCTCATGGTTGCAATAGATGCTTGTAGCCATGCCAAGCACCCAATTCTCCCCAGCAGCATCCCCAGCAGGAATGAAGGGCAGGCACGTTCCTCTCACAGTCTGGTCTTTTTTCATGAAGTCCCCAGTGGATTTATCCTTACATCTCATTGGTCAGTACTAGGTCACATGCCCATTCCTGGCTGCAAGGGAGTCTGGGAGAGAAATCCCACTAGCAATCACAGCTCTGCACAGGAGGTAGGTTCTGCCATCAGGCAACAAAGTGCTGTGGGTAACTACCCTACGATGTCTGCCATCACAGGCATGACCACACAAAAATGGACGTTTTGGTCCTCCCAGGCACCTGGAGTGCTCCACGCCTGCATCTGTAGGCAGTGCTTCCTGAGAGAGCAACTGGAGCTGAGTTTTGGACAGATCGCTTTCTTTCCTTTCCATGCCTCAGTGCTCATGCTAGACTTTGAGGTTTTGTTAGACTCAGGTCCAACTCCTCCAACGTTACAGGAAAAAGTGTCTGGGGTTCTCTTGCCACTTCTGAGCAAATGTTTTGACACAGTGATTTCTCTGAAGGGCTTGTCCTGCTGCTTTAATGATCCATGTTTTCATTGGAGTTTCATAGAGATGGACCCCAGTGGAGGTACTGGGAAGTGATGAGTGCAATGAAGCTGCAAGTCAGAACTTAATGGAAACCACCATTCGAGGGGTCTTCCATCTGACATGCCTGGGAAAAGGCACTGTCAGAGTTTTCCTATTCTCAGTTCTTAGGAGAGTGTTGTCTGCTGTGGCAGGGAAAATGGTTTTAAGTCTACAGCAAGTAACTCACATCTGGGGTTTATCAGTTACCTTTTGCTGCATAACAAACAACCCCAAAACTTAGTGGCTTAAAACAAGTCACTTATGCGGCTCACAGTTCTGTGGGCTGGCAAAGCTGAGTTCAGCTGAGTAGTTCTTCCAGTCTCAGCTGGGTGACTCACGCATCTGAACTCAGCTGCCAGTCAGCACCAGGTCTGCTCCTGGGGGTTGGCTGCCTCATGGCTCAGGTGATGGGCGTGAATGGGGTTCCTGGATCGCGTGCCCATCATCCTCCAGCAGTCTAGCCTGGGCTTGTTGACCTGATGCCTGAGCAGGGTTCACAGAGAGTAACAGAAGTACAAAGGCCTCTTGAGGCCTGGCCTTGGAGCTGGCCCAGGATTTCTGCTGCATTCTGTTGGCCAAAGCAAGTCACAGCCCAGATATGAAAGCAGGGGAAATGGGCAGCATTCTTGATGGGGGAAGCTCTCGAGTTACACTGTAAAGGTGTGTGGATGGATACGGGGGGAGTGAAGGACTGTGGCCACCCCTGCAATGGGTTGTAGGGGTAAGAAAGCAGAATTTGCACTGTTGTATGTTTGGGTGTGTCTGGAAACTATTTCCATAAATATGGAGTATTTAGCTGCAGAAGTTGACAGAGACTCCAAATTTTATTCACTACCCATCCTTATTATAACTGGAAAGAAATACTGAACACTTGGCTGTTGTCATAAAACCAAGAATTCGCTTTTGGAGAAAGGGTAGGGACGGGTAACGTGGGCAGCAGGTACGGTGTGAACTGGAGAACCATGTACAGTCCTTCTCTTGAATCCCTTCAGACCACTGTTGGTGTTAGCCAGACGTGTTGCCCATGAATTTCCAATTCTTTATCCCGCTAAAAATACCTTTTGAATGTTTGACTCTAAAATCTTTTTAGGGGAGCTGGCACAGATGAGAATGTTATAAAAAGCCTTCTCCTCACCTGACTTTATTTTGACTCTGCCAAAGAACTTCAAGACTCAGGTGGTTTATTGACTTTTTGGCTGCATGTCAATGAATGTTTCAGAACCACCATATAAATGGAAACCACTTGAGATTCATTGATTCAGGAGATTCCTGTAGAGTTATGGGCCAACCATTGTGTTCAGGACGTGGGGATATGATGGTGAGCAAGACAGGCATACAGAAGAGTGCGTAGTTCCAGCTGATGCACATGTCACAGATGAGAGACCAGCTGCCCCTGGAACCGCCTGTCCTGGACGGGGAGGCCAGGGAAGGCTGCTTTGAGTAAGGGAGCTGAGACCTATAGGATGAATGAAGTTAACCAGGCAGAGGAGGAAAACAAGAGCATGTCAATCAGAGGGAACAGTGTGTACAAAGGCCCTGCGGCAGAAAGGAGCATGGCACAGGTCACGGGGATGAAAGGAGGCACATGGGGTCAGGGAGGCTGGAGCAAAGAGCCTGAGGGAGAGAGAGGCCCTCCTGTCCACTTTATCAGTAAGTGCCACTTAATCTGTCCCTTGCCCACGCTGAGACCTAATCTCTATATACTGGACAGAATGTGAACTTTCTGCACTGTAGCCTGCTTTGAGACCTGCTTTTAGCATTCCTGTTTTAGAAAAGCAGCTTTCTGCTGGCAGGGATTGGAGTGCACTGTGACTCCCCTGTTACACTTGCCTGCCCACCTTCTATGTGGTTAACACAGATGTGCGTGTCCCAAGGATCTGGTCAGTTCTCTTCTGGGACGTGTCGTGACACCATCTCTGTCCCCATTTCTACCCACAGTAGGTGTGCCGTGGCAGTTCCACCAACAGTGCCAGTTAGCCTTTGTAGTTACCAACTAGAGAGTACCTGGCTGAGCCCTGAAAAGCCGCTGGGTGACTTTGGGCCAATCGCTCTGTGTCTCTGACCTGAGGCTGTTAGTATATACGAGAGGGATGAAACTTCTTGCACATGGCTGTTGAAGATTGAATGAGGGTGTTATTAGGGTGGCCTGTGAAAATATGTATTATATATTTTCCATGGCTTCTGGGTACTTCCAAAAGGAAGCTCGAGGGTGAAGTGTTAGCTGGTAACACTATTGGGCTGTATCCTCTGAGGCCATTTTCTTTAGCTTGTCGGCACCTTCCTGCTTGACCCGCAGATTGGCTAAGAGGGGTGAGACTCAGGGCTTTGTCAGTGCCGATGTGGGGTGCATGCTGTAACTCTTGGTCTGGACGGCACCTCCTTTACCTTACTGGGAATGGAAACCTTTCGCTTATTCCAGGTTGCAGCCAAGTGTTACCAAAAAGGAGGTGCGTTTGAGAAAGAGAAGCTGGCGCTGGCCCACGACACCGCCCTGAACATGAAATCCAAGAAAGTCAGCCCCAGGTAAGAGTCTCGGGGGTCATTTCAGCTTTGCTCTGAGGAGAGCACGCGGGTTAAATGTATTCGCGTTAGATCAACATTCCACGGAAGCTCTGTTTTGTTTCCCTCCTCCCAGGGAAAAGCAGGTGGAGTATTTGGAACTGGCGAAGACCTATTTGGAGTGCAAAGAACCAAAGCTGTCCCTTAAGTGTCTGAGCTACGCCAAGGAGTTCCAGCTCTGCGCCCAGCTGAGCGAGAGGCTGGGAAAGGTATGGACGGCGCCAGCCCGCGGCTGCTCCCGGGAGAGCTGGGCTTCACTCGGCAGCTGGAGGAGCGACCCTCAGCCTCTGCTGTGTCAGAAGGGGCCTCCAGTCTAAAGAGAGAGAGCCTGGCCGTGTTGACTCTAGGGTAGCCCTTCTCTCTCCACGTGCTCAAACGTTTACATGGCTCCAAAGATGTGTGCGCGCACATGCGCATATGTGTGCGTGTGTGTCCACATCTGTGGGAATGTTTGAGACCTGATATTAACTACAGGGAAGCCAAATGTTCAAATCAAAGGGAAGATGAGGGTTAGAGTATTCCTGCCTTCTTTCTCTCTATGTTCAGTCTGGAGTTGGCCTGGGCGAATGGCCTGGCATTTACATGGCAATTTTTCTATGTTCCCAGTTAATTACACTAGATCTGCACCAACCACTCTGGCAGCCACCAGTCTCATGTGGCTATTTAATTTAAAATTTAAGTTAATTAAAATGTATTAAAACTAAAAATTCGGTTCCTCAGTCTCCCTAGCCACATTTTAAGTGCTTATTGTTAGAGACCATTTCTGTCATTCTAGAAAGTTCTGTTGAACAGAGCTGCTAGTCTAGAACACAGCCACGCACAGAGTGGTCAGCAGGCTGGCGACAGGCCACAAGCTGTTATTAGTCTGCAACAAGATTAACACGGAAGATGAAAGCCTGCAGAGTTTTTATAGCAATTTGGCATTGCCATAACATCCAAGTGGGATGATTTTCTTAGTGATTCATTTTTCTTCTTTTTTTTTTTAAAGTGAGATATAATGGGCATATAACACTGTATTACTTTTAGGTGTACAACATAATGATTCGATATATGTATATGTTGAGAAGTGATCGCCACAGTAAGTTTAATTCATGTCCATCACCACACATAGTTACAAAAAATTTGTTTTCTTGTGACGCGAACTTTTAAGATCTACTCTGTTAGCAACTTTCAAATATACAGTGCAGTATTATTGACTGTAGTCACCCTGCTGTACGTTACGTGATGTGTTTTTAGTGTATCAGTTGTGATGGATTGGAGGACACGTAAAACCGTCTGGTCCTTCACCACAGGTGGTTTGAGAAGCTTTGCTCTAGAACGCCTGCCCACGTGTGGCTTTTGCATTTCCCCCTCTATCAGGCTTTATGACCCTCCAGTAGGAAGGTGGGTTTCCACATTTGTATGTGAACTGTAGGAAGTCCTGGGTCCAGAGCTCCTCTGCCGTTGGGCGAGGTGGAGGTGGGACCTACTTTTGAAAGTTTGAAATGTGGTCCCAAGTCAGGGTCAAAGAAGATAAGGCTTCCCAATGCTGCCTGCCCTGCCTCATGTTTATTATGGGATGTGACTCGTCAGGATGATAGGAGATGAGGATGGAGTAAGGATTTCAGTGTGGGTGGGAGTTTGGGTCCTAAGATTCCAAGAACTAGAATTTCCAACCTCTCCATGTTCTTAGCCCCCACCCTCCAATCTCCACTGCCACCAGCTTGGAACCTAAACAGTGACAACTACAGCGGAGAGGCCTAAACCTATCACTTTCTCTTTTGCCTACCAGCGCCTGCCATGACTGGGCCAGAGACTCCTTCCTTATCTGCTCACCTTGCCTCTCCCAGCCTGCCAAGCTCTGCCTCTGAAAGTAGGGGGGCGGGGGGAGAACAGGAGGCCGTAAGTGCAGCCCCTGTTCCCTTCTCCAGAACTTCAGCACCTTCCAGATGGGGAGGCCACTCTGCTCTTGGAGGTACAGCCCCCTCTTTTGTTCTGCTGCCACAGCCTTGACCACTGGTGGCAGCTTCTTCCACCTTCCCTCACCAGTACATTCTAGAAGCTCCAAGCCCCATTCAGGAAAGAGTCTGGTCCCTTTCATTGCTTAGACCCCTCCCTGGAAGGCTGTTCAACTGTCAGCCATCCTCAGACCTCTTGTGGTCATCCCACCAAACTGACCAGCATGATTCAAATTGACCAGCTTGGCAGTAGCCTTTGTCAAAATCCTTAAGTCAAATCATTTCCCTGTTCCCAGCCCCAAATGTGTGCTACCTCTGGGAAGAAATGTTTGTGGGGGGCTGTAGGAGTGTGAGATTTCCTTTCAGGAGTTCCTCTGCCTTGCCTGCTTTCTGCCCCTCTCCAAAGAGCAAGATTGGTTTCCCTGGAAACCTCTCAAGGCCCTTGCTCTGGATGGCAGGTGGGGACCTCCTCATGGAACAGAACAGGCCAGAGTAGGGAGCTGCCTCTTAGAGGCGGCCCTCTCTTCTCTCTCTCCATTTGGGCGCACACTTGGCACCTGCATTCACTCTCAGGGAATTTTCTTCTGGGTAATCAGCATTGACAAGGAGAGGAAAAAGATGGGGTGTTCTGGTTATGGGGTTTTGCTGATGTGGCAGGATGGGTCTAGGGGCTCCCTGGTCTGTGAGGTTTCTGGACGTAGAAGAACCTCACACCTGAATCCTGTTTATATTTTGGCATTTTGTGTAGCTTGTCTCATTAAATAAAACCCAGCTAAGATTTATCAGAGGGCCTGGCATATATATTTTGCTTTGTTTCATTTTGGTTTTGTTTTTATTTTCTCTTTGCACCTCAAGTCCAGCAGGTAAAATGATGACATTAAATATTCAGCAAATAGATGGACCCCCTCCTGTGTGCCAGGCACTGTGGGTGCTCAGGGACCAGCAGGCAACAAAGCAGAGACCCCTGCCTCTGCAGAGCTTCCCTCCCTAGTGGGGGAGAGATGACAGACAAGCCGGTAGTATAGAAGATGTCAGTGGTGATGAGGGCTAGGTAAGGAGCGAGAGTGTGTCAGGTGTTGCTACTTTAGACTGGGGTGGGCGTGTCAGGGAGCTGGCTGAGAACAGAGACTCTGAGAACAGCTGCTGGAGGGCATCACGGGCCAAGGAACCTCACAGGGAAAAACCCCTAAGGTGGGAGTGTGTGGGCAAGTTTGAAGAACAGCGAGGAAGCCAGTTTGGCCGGAGCAGAGTGAGCGGGTTGGAAATGGTAAAATGAGCAAGAGAGGATGGAAAGAACAAGTCATGTGGGGCCTCATTGTCCATGGCAGGGACTGGATTTTGTTCCGGTGTGATGGGGAGCACTTGGAAGGTTTTGACTGGAGGAGTGACATGAAACTAATTATTTTGATGCTCTGTGGAGAGGTGTGTAGGCAGCAAGAGTCGAAGCAGAAAGGCCAGTTAGGAGAGTTCTAGTGGTGGCTTAGGCTGAGAAGATGGTGGCCTGGATTGCCACGAAGGTGGTGGAGGTAGCGGGAAGGGGTCATATCTGGGAAGTGTTGGGAGAGTCACGTAGGCAAGATGAGCTGATGGGTTGGATGGGAAGTGTGAGAGGAAGAGGAGTGGGATTTCCTCTTCTGTTCACAGCAAACCTACCATTGGTTTTATTTTGTTCATCCTCTTCTTCTTTGTGGCCAGTCTCCATTCCTATTTTCTTCTCACTGGCAGCCATTCCAATGCATGTAATGTGTGTCCCCATACGCATGCATAATTGAAGAATAAGTAGTATTTCTATACATATGTATTTTAAGCTTGTCTAAATAGAGCATCTTGTTCTATTTTTTTCACCTTTTTCACCCCCCGCTATGGTTTTACAGTCTGGCCAGGTTTCTGACTGCTGGTAGTGTTCCAGAGTGGGCATCTACTGCATTTGACTTACCCATTTCCCTAGTGGTGCATGTCCAAGTTGCCACCACCTCCCGGTCGCCACACACAGTGCCGTGATGCAGTGTGTCTCCTTCCAGTTGCGGGTGAGATCTGGGAGGTGTATTGCTTGCTGGCCCCAGGGTGTGCTTATACTTAATTTCACTAAGTGAAAGTGAAAGCCACTTTGCTTTTCAGAACAGCTGTACCACTTTGTGCCTGAGGGTTCCACGTTCCTCGCATTCTTGACTATGTTCAATGGGATCTGATTTTCTAATTTTTGCAGTCCTGATGGATGTACCTCCCTGTGATATTAATTTGCGTTTCTCTGTTTATTAATGAAGTAGAACATCTTCATTTATTTGTCATTCAAGTTTCCCCCACTGCAAACTGCCAGTTTATGTCCTTTGTCTGGTTTTTGTTGTGTTTTCAGGAAAGTTTTCTTCTTGTGGTTGCAAGAATCCATTTTATGGTCTGGACCTGCCCAGTCTAGTGCAGTGGCTACATGTGAAAATTAAAATTAAATAAATAAAAAATTCACTTCCTCAGTTGCACTACCCACATTTCATGTGCTCACTATTCACATGTGGCTAGTGGCTACTATATTGGATAGCATAGATAGAGAATATCTCCATCCTCACAGAAAGGTCTTTTTGACTGCTGGTCTAGATGTTAATGTTTGTCTTCTCTTGTTAACTTTATTTCATGTGTCTTTTGTTGAACCATTTGAGGTAGTCAAATCCATCAGTTTCTCCCCTGAACTTTGTGCATTTTGGGTTTTGTTGAAAACTTTCTTTACCTCAAGGTCACAAAGATAGTCTCTTACATTTTCCTCCAGTATCTTTTACCTTTAGATCTTTAATCCATCTGGAGCTTACCTTTGTGTATGGTGTGAGGTTGGCATCTAACTTTATTTTCTCCTTATAAAGAATTAGTTTTCCTAATATTACCTATGTTTTAGTATTTGTCACTGGATTCTAACAAATAGCAGACATATGATCATCCTCTTTATTATTCATGGTGTTGGCTTATTTTTAAGATAAAAAGTCATGTTTTGAATACTCTACGAGTAAGGTTTCACTCTGTTCTAGATAAAAGATGCCGCCTATTTCTATAAGCGAAGCCAGTGCTACAAAGAAGCTTTCAGATGCTTTGAGCAGATTCAGGAATTTGATCTAGCACTCAAAATGTACTGCCAAGAGGAGCTTTTTGAAGAAGCTGCTATTGCAGTGGAAAAGTAGGTGGTTTTATTTTCCCCCTTCCCCTTCCTCTCTGTCCCTCTCGCTGCTTCATGGGGACAACCTGCCCTGGGTTGTGCCATCCTGCTCTTCTGAAGTTGCTTGACCATGTTGCCTACCTTCTACTTGAGTGGTGGCCTCGGTGCTGGGTCAAGAACTCCTTGAGAGCAGGACTCTGTGTTTTCCACTCTTTCTATAAGCTTTGACACAATGTCATGAAGGGAAGGGACAGAGAAGATGAAGGGTATGTTACGAGTGTATATATAACATGCATGACAATTTTGTACTTAATGACGGTTCTGTCCGCTCCACCTTTACCTGCTAAGCTGACAGTTTTGCTGATGTGTGGATGGATAAAGGTAAGAGCACTAGTGGGAAGTCAGGATTTTGCTTCATCATTATCTACTGGCAGATGCTCAGCCCTACACTCATATGTATGTGTATGATATGTGTGTACACACACCCTCGGTTGTAGGACACATGAGTTTATACATGACCTGTAGAGGCCTCCCTGAACCTTTAGCTCAGCTAATATTCCAAAGGTGAAGTGGAGATGGGTGGGGTTAGTAGTTGGCAAGGAATCCAGAAACAGCCTGTGGTTGATGCTCTGGGAGATCTTCCTGGTGATATGAGACAGCAAGAATGACAGAGTCTGCTATCTACATTTCTGCTCAGCAGGGGTTTGAGTCTACTCTCAGCTCCTGGAAAAGTAGGCTATGGGTTGGTTCTATATTTCTTTTCTTTCTACCAAATTATGCATGTAATGAAATGAACATAATTGACCTAGATGTTCAAACTTGAGATTTTTATTTTTAAGTTAGTTTTTATTAAAGTATAACATCTATTCAAAAAAGTGCACATAATTTTCACAAAGTAATATACTTGTATAACCAGCACATAGATAGATATTGAGTTTTATTTTTGGAAATGGAAAAGTGGGTGTCCAGTACCATGGTTGGTAATTGAGCATATTCCTTTATCCAGGTCTTGGGTACCATCATGTGTATGATATACTCAATCAGTAGGTATTGGTCAGCTCAGGCTGCCATAACGAATGCCATAGACTCCGTGGCTTAAACAACAGAAATTTGTTTTCTCTTAGTTTTGGAGGCTAGAAGTCTAAGATCAAGGCTCCAGTCAACTGGGTCACTGGTGAGAGCTCTCTTCCTGGCTTGCAGATGGCTGCCTTCTCGCTTTGTCCTCACATGGCCTTTCCTTGGTGCTTATATTTGGAGAGAGAGCATGTGCTCACTCTGGTGACACTAATCCTATAGGATCAAGGCTCCACCCTTGTGACCTCATTTAACTTTAATAACTTCCTTAGAGGCCACATCTCCATATACACCCATACTTGGCATTAGGGCTTCGATATATGAATTTTAGGGGATTAGGGGACACAAACTATCAGTCCATACAGAGTGTCAGCTGTGACATTTATTGGGTACCCAGTCAGCAGGGTGCTATGCAGTGGTGTTGTGAGTAATTGACCAGGCCAGTTCTCTTGTGAGTTCATATGACAAAACTGACTGAGAGTTGTTTTTTTTGATACTTTCAATTATTTATTTAACCTTCTGTTCTCACTTTTCCAGAAGAGCATTGAATAATCATAGATTTTCCCTAGAAACATTTGTTTTTTGGTCTTTCATTACTATTTTAATTTTTTTCAGGTTTTTTGAGGTATACAACTGAGAGTTTTTAATGAATTGTTGAGTTGAGATCTTAATCTGAGTATTTTTTTTTCTTTCTGCTTTTTCTCCCCTAATCTCCCCAGTACATAGTTGTATATTTCAGCTGTGGGTCCTTCTAGTTGTAGCACGTGGGACGCTGCCTCAGCATGGCCTGACGAGTGGTGCCAAGTCTGCTCCCAGGATCCGAAACAGCAAAACCCTGGGCTTCCACAGTGGAGCGCGCAAACTTAACCACTTGGCCACAGGGCCGGCCCCAGTAGTCTGAGTATTAACTGGAGCCTCACACTAGAAATATCTGCGTGTCTTTTGGAGGCTGTGCATACTGGATGTAGAATTCAATTGCTAACTGGCATGACTCAAAATACACTGAGGACATTTTAGATTTGAAAAGAAAATATGTAGATGGTTCCTTAAACTTGCTAAAAATACTCCCTACTCCATCAGCCAGTACTCACATGAGAAGTATATTCCCCTCCTTTATCTTTATTTACACTCCTTCACGGAGGGCCTGTTTATACTAGGAAATCTGATATTTACAGGATAATTCTGGGGCATCATAAGGTCTCTGGGCACTTCTGTGGTTGTGAGGAAATATATTTTGTCCTGCAAGAGTTCAAAAGTAAGCATGTTTTGTTGGGTTGTTCCAGTGCCTTGAAAATTGGTCGTGTGGGATGTACTGACTTTGATCAGCCGAGTAAAGGGGACCCCTTCAGAACTTCATGAATTCACACTAACTCAACCACATGCATACCTGGCAAAAGAGAAGAATCAGAGGTTGGATAAGAAGAGGAAGACTAATACACTCACTGGCCTGTGTGTAGCTTCCATCTTCATCCTTTCTCATTAATCACATATCACACTGAACAGTATTGTATACCCAAAAGGATTATCATGCTTTTATGACAGTTTAAAGGATTTTTTTTCAGGGGCAATTTTGACTGTGCCTAACTTTTGTCCTACAGATTGACTTTCAAACTTAACTTTCACTTGCTTAGGTTGCAACTCCATTATATTTCATTAATTAAACACACTAATGCTCAGTTCCTTGGGGAATAAATAATTAATTTTGTCAGTATAAAATGAAGCATTTATAATGATGCTGGATAAGTGGAGGTCCTATTTTGTAGTTTGTATCTACATGTGAGAATCTTATGTAAGTTGCTCTGTGCTGTATTTTGGAAGAAATTTTCTATTAGGTAATAATGAGTTGACATTTGCGTGTCTGTCATTGCAGGTACGAAGAAATGGTAAAGGCCAAGAGCCTTCCCATATCCAAGCTCTCCTATTCTGCCAGTCAGTTATACTTGGAGGCTGCAGCAAAGTACCTGAGTGCAAATAAGATCAAGGAGATGATGGTCGTCCTCTCGAAGCTGGACATAGAAGACCAGCTGGTCTTCCTGAAGTCTCGGAAACGGCTAGCAGAAGCTGCAGATCTGCTGAAGAGGGAAGGTCGCAGAGAAGAGGCTGCCTTGCTGATGAAGCAACATGGCTACCTCTTGGAGGCTGCCAGGCTCACTGCCGACAAGGACTTCCAGGCCTCGTGTCTGCTGGAGGCTGCCCGCCTCAATGTGGCCAGTGGTTCAGACATAGAAAATACCAAGGCCATTCTGAGAGAAGCCGTTGATCTCTACCATCAAACCAGTCAGTTGTCTGGGATTGCTGAGGCCTTTTTCCTGCAGGGGGTAATCCTGAAAGACTTTCAGAAGCTCAAGGACGCCTTCTTCAAGTTTCACAAACTCAACCACTCGGCTGGAGTAGTGGAAGCACTCTATGAAGCCACCTATCTGTGTGAGGCCGAGCCTGAGAAGGTCCTGGCCCTGGCTCCAGGGGGCTTGGAAGTCCTCCTCGATCTGGTCAGGGCCCTTAAAAAAGTGACCAACAATGCGGAAAAGGAAATGGTCAAGTCTTGTTTTGAGTTTTTTGGGATTTCTCAGGTGGATGCCGAGTATTGTCAGATGGCTCAGAATGACCCTGGACCCATATTAAAAATAATTTTTGACCTGGATTCAAACTTGAAAGAGAAGAAAACAAAAGACCATTTCTTGATAATGACTGAGCAAGTAAAATTAGCCCTAAAGAAACACCTTCTGAGCAGGCTGTGTCAGGTCACACGGAGCCTGCTTGGGAGGACCTACCCCGGGGTCTGCATGAAGTTTATTGTAGGCTTAAAATGCGAGAATGAAAACTGTGAAGATTTCCACAGGCCTTTGCGGCGTTGTGAGGCCAAGTATTTGGTTCAGTCAAAAATGCAGCTGGTGGCAATCAATGGACTGCTTTTGGAAGCCAAAAAGGTATTCCCTAAAATTTTAGCTCAAGAACTTGAAGAAATTGATTATATTTTATCTACAGATACGTATGGCCTTTGCAAATCCTTTCTGAATGTCCTCTTCCCTAAGCATTTCCATCAGAGAGTGTTGTCAGAAAACATCATGGCATGCAAAGAAATCCTCAAACCAAATTACAAATTCTTCCGATCCTACAAGTTTGCTCTAAAAGAGTACATCCATTTTCTGTTTCAAAACGCAAGTGTACGAAGCCGCCGGGAGTCTACAGACCTGTGGCTGAGCGCCATGCAGGCTTTCCTTCTCTCTTCGAACTACCCGGAGGACTTTGAAAAGCTGCTCCACCAAGAGGAGGACAACTACAACAGGGAGCTCAAAGCTCTAGAGTCTGAAAAAGAGGAAAGGGGCAGGGGACGAGGCAGCAGGATGAAAGGAATAGAAGGGAAATTCGGCATGCTGGCGCCCAACAAGGACGATGAAAGTGCCGAGAAGACCCACCTGTGCTTCATCCGGCTGCTGGAGAATTGCATCGACCAGCTCTATGTGTACAGGAACCCAGAAGACTGCAAGAGGCTCTTTTTCCGTTTCATGAACGTCCTTGTTAAGAGGTGCAAGGAGCCACTCATCCCCAGCATCGGAAACACAGTGGCCCTGTTGGAGTTCCAGTTCATTCACTGCGGGGCGGTCCTGGCCTGCCTCTGGAAGAATACCATCCTGTGCCTCCCCAAGAGCTACATTGCACTCTTACACTACTGGGAGTTCCTGTTCAGCAAGGACAAAGAGCTCGGGGACGTGTTCTCCATCATCCAGGGATACAAACCTAAGGACGTGATAAGAGCCATTCAGAATTTCCGGTACCACCTCTCCTACCTCGTCAAGGTGCTATGCGGTGATGAGAATGAGAACTTCAATGTTCTGCTCGATGCCTTTAGTGACATAGACTATGTAGTCTCTGGTGAGGCAGAGCGGACCCTGGTGCTGTGCTTGGTGATGCTGGTCAATGCCAAGGAGGTTCTGCAGCCAAACTGCAAGACTCTTCTGTACCACCACTTCCAGGAGATCGAGAGGAAGCTGAAGCTGATGAGTGTGGACAGCCCACACCAGGTGCCTGAGAGGCTCCTGAAAGTGGTGAAGCGGGTGTTGATGGCGGTCGATGATAAGTCTGTGGCTGAGGCGCTGCAGGACCTGCTCCTTGAGCGGGATGAAGAGTACTTGATGGACTGCTACTGGCGGTGGGACAGCATGCACACCAAAGGGGTTGTGATCCGTGGCCTCTATCATGAGGAGGTCAAATTAAACCGCCTGCTCTATGTGGACCCCGTGCACTACTTTGCTGAACCACAGTCTGAGTTTGGTCAGAATGAGACGAACGAGCTGGTATCAGAAGACCAAGATCACCTCCTCACTGCCATCCTTTCCAAGAAGCAGTGGAAGGCTTCCATCCAGCGGAAGTTGCGAAGAGTGTGCCTGGTGGTGTCCCTGTGCATCAGCTGGAGAAGGGCGAGTGCCCAGAAGAAGCACTTCAGGGAGGAGACTGGGGAGCCCAGGGCCGGCAACTTCAAAAAGGCCGACGTTGACAGGACCCAGTGTGACCTGTGCGGAGTGAAGTTCACCTGCTGTCCTGAGAACTATTTCGCTCCCGATAAAGCATTTGAGGGAGCGCCTTCAGAGGCTGTGGCCCTTTCCAGGGCTGAGCTGGAAGACAAGGAGTATTGGGAGAGGAACAGTGAGTCTTATGAGCAGCATATCCACCTAGAAGGCCATCAGAGGCAGCAAGTGGCTTACCAGAAATACTCTGAATTTTTCCGGGAGAAGGTGGAGCCAGCCATTGAGGAAGGCAAGCTGGTGGTGCAGGACATTGAGCAGAGCATGTGGGTCTCCAGTCACCTGGGCTCCAAAGAGCACAGCCACATGCTGCAGAGGAAGGTCCAGGAGAGCATCGAGAAGGTTTTGGATATGGTGGAGGACCTCTACAGACGCAAGGCCTGGGCTGGAGGTAAGGGGCCCTCAGAAATGGGTTCCAGGGGATGTTAGAACCTGGACTTTGAGAACGCATGTCAGAGTCAAGTCCTTTGAGGGGTTGTCCGACCTGGGATGATAGAACTTGGCCTTAACAGAAATACAAGTGAGGACTGTGTGTTCTCAAGTTACAGCAAAACGGCATTGTTTGGACCACCCCTCCCCCGATGAAAACTCTGTCTCGGGCCAGGATGGTTTCCCCTGGCACTGCTGACAGAAAAGGGCCCGCTAACTAACTCTGTGGAGAGGCTATAGGGAAAATGTTTAAAATCTTGAGGAAACTCTTTAAGCTTCTGATTCATTCATTCAGTGATCATTTCTTGAGCACCTACTGTGTGCTGAACCCGTGACTAAGATCTGGAGACGCGTAGCTGTTCTCTTCCTTTTAGGAGCGTCCCTCAACCGTACCCACTGTGAGCCTTTAATAATACGAATTCTGTGGTCTTTGAATCACATTTCCTCTAACTTCTTTATTAGCTACTTCTTAGCAACACTGAGTGGAAGTGTGCTGTGTATAAAATTAGTAAAATTACATATTTTAAAATCATTCTACAATTCAGACACTCAAGTTTAAGGTTGAATGACATTTTGAACAAAAGCTTCCGTGAGAGATTTGCTGTTGGCAGTCTCTAGAGACACACAGCAACGGCATCAGGCTGGCGTTTTATTGTAGTTTATGTTTGTGGCAGAAGGTGGCTGTGGGTCCTTACCATGTCGTTCTCCTCAGGAGAGGCACAGACACAGGCTCTTGGGAGGTGGTGGCTTTGGCTCTAGGACTGGGTGTCTGAGTCCCTGCAGGGGCCCCTTCACTCAGAGCCCTTGTTCTTTCGTTCCCATAGCGGAGGAAGTCATGACTCAGCAGGTCGACGTTCTGACCCCGTCAGTCAGAAAGGCGCAGGAGTGGCTGAGGAAAACAGAGCTCCACTTGAAGCAGGAAGGTAAGGAGTCCTTCCTCCCAGGGTATTGTTCTGGGTCTCTAGTTGCTGGTTCTGCTGACTCCCGGGTCAATTTGAAGTGGGGCTGCCTGTGATGTCAATAGTGGCTGCTCACTGTCTTGGAGCATCGCCCCCAGTGAGTCAAATTATTAGCAACGTAGTATCTGAGTCTCCCCGTCTGACTGTTAGAGCCGTTAATCTGGGCTCACGTTAGTTGCTTTTTCAAAAACCACTTTGCCACTCATGAGCTATTATCGATGACGTTCAGTCACTATTCATACTCAATACAGTGACTCCTAAGGATAGACAAAGGATTGCAAAACCATCTCTTGATAAATATGTTTGCCTGGATCAACCATTCATGTAAGTCAATGAATATTTACTGAGTGTCTAGTATGAATCAACACTGTTCTGGGCTTGGGGATATGAACTAAACAAATTTGTGGACAAAACAAAATCATTGGGGAAACCTACACGCGTCTGCCTACAGAGGGTTAAAGGCCTGTGCAGAGTGAATCAGGTTTCTCTTCTGAGCTCAGAATTACCTTGCCATGTTCTATATGCTCTGGAAAGTCTTTCCTCTTGCCCATTCTAACTGCTGCCCCCTCTTGACTGGACCTCATTTCTTCTTGCTCCAACTATATCACCTGCCCCAGATTGCCCTCTGGGAGTCCTCCTAATCCAGATGCTACTGGAAAATCCAGACCCCACCGCTGGAGAAAACTTGAAGGGACTTGGCATAAATGTCTATGCCAATAGAAAAAATCTTTAGAATATAGTCCCTGCTGGGACTCTGACTTTTGTGATTGTTTCAAAAGGAAGATAACTGGTATTCCAACTCAAGTCTGTGTTTGACTTTAGGTTGTGTTTGGTTTCTTTGCCGTTTAAAGGGTCTCTAACATAAGGCCGGAGGAACCAGCCTGTAAAAGAACTTAATTCCGGAGAAGAGTGTTTACATTGGCTGTTTCTCAGCCTGGAAAATAATGTCAGGACTCAAAGAAGCATCCTCTCTCTCTGGCACCTGGTGGAAGACTTTTTTTATATTCTTTAATTGAAAGCAATGATTTCAGAGACATTAGGTTTTACTAGAATGTTGTATTTCTCAGTGGAGTGAAAAAGTCATCTTTCTGCACTTTGTTTCTGTCGTTTGCTTTTTCAACAGGTGTTGTTCAGGAAGATGATTATGAAAATGAAGTTGAAGACTTTGGCGAGCTCCGTCCCAGAAGCCGTCAGCGGAAGTGTGGAAAGCGGAGAAAATACTAACGTTCACACAGCTGCTGCCTTCTAAACCTTCAGAACATTCCATCTTGACTTAGAATTCTGTGTGCTGAGGCGGAAGAGAAAAAGAATGTTAATTAGCATAAAATAGGAAGGGAGTCCCACAAACCTTTGCTTTTTGTTCCTATTTCTCTTTCAGTGGTGGTTTAGGGTCTTATTGCTCCCTTACCTGCAGGGATCTCTTAAGTGCTTTCCAAGTTCAAGTCTAGCAGTATCAGTTCCCCCTAAAGCTTGTTCAGATGGGAGAAGTCATAGCTGAAGGGAACCTTGGGACTCCCCACCCCAAGGCCCCGGGTTCTCTGGCTCGTCACCGTCGTGACATGAGTCAGTAAAAGGGAAACCCCCCGCCTCAGAGCTGCTGCTAGCCTGGGTCGGGAAGCCCTCTGTTGAGTCCCTCATCTCCTTTCATGTGGCTGTGACCTCAAGTAGTACAAGAGCTGTGTGTGCCCAGGGCCCATGTGGGCCCTACTGCTGGCCACCCCTGACCCAGGCCACACTCTGGTCATCTCTGAGCCTACTTGTAGTATGGTTCCTTCCATTGTATATTTTAGCCTTTTCTCTCTGTGGCAATTTTCTGCCCTTCTTGCCACCAATTTTTTTGTGACCATTCTCAGCTATCTGTGCGAGTCATAGTTAGATTACCTCAGAATGTAGTCAAGAATTTCCCCAGTGTCTAGCCTCAGGACCTTCCCCCAAGAAGGAGAGGCTGGGGAATGTTGCTGGAGGTTCTCAGCCTGCCTCTCCACGGTGGTCCTAACTCCACCTTGGGTACGGTGCCGACATTCCAAAAGGTGTTTTGTGTGTAGCCCTGTATGTCTAGTTTTCTTGCTTCTCCCTGGCAAGTTTGCCGTCCTAGCTTAGGTTGACATTCTGATGAGCTTCCTCCTGCTGAGCTCACCACGGTGGGACAGTGACCTGCAGAGTTGCAGGTTAGGGACAAGTGGACAGAGGAGGAAGCCAGCTTTACAGTGCCAATCCATAGGGATTTGGCTGTGAATCACTGCCCTGTGGCTGGTAGACCCTGAAAGTGGAGGGACTTGGGCCTGTTTGCAGGAGCCCATTGCTCCCCCACCTCCCGGGGCCAGTGGCCATCAGTATGGTCCCATTAGGGAAACTTTCATGCCTCGTGGTTACTCCCCACCCTTTCCCCACCCCTCAGCTCAGCCTGGTGCAGAAGGTCAGGTTCACGTTGGTCCTTCATTGTTGTGTCATCACAACAGAATCAGCTTTCTCCCCATGTTGCCACTGCTTTTGCCGCTGGTTGTTTTCTCTTTGTTGTCTTTCTAAATGATTCTATTTCCTTGAAACGTTTATGCTTCTAATTTTTATTAGGTTATGTTTCTAATTTTTATTCCAAGTGTTTTTTACAAACTTGCCAGAAAAAGAAAAAAAAAAACCCCAATCAAATCTTGCTGTATTATCACATTTTTTATAAAGTTAAGTCATTTCTCTTGCCTAGAGCTGTCCATTTGTTTATTTCCAATCTCCACTCTGAGAGTAAAGGGGTCAGTCTTGGAGCTGGTTCTTTCTGGTCATCTGGGTGATGCTGACCACGGTAGAAGTTTGCTGTGCCTTCTGAGATCAAGACATCCAGGGACAGAGAAATATAGCTCAGCCCGGGGACTCGCAGCTGTTTGCAGTGTCTCTTGAGGTCCTGCCTGTGCAAGTTCTTTCCCGTTTGGGTGTTCCTGAGCGTGCAGGCTGCGGACGGTAAGGAGATTTGTCAGTGTCGTGTATTGGAACTACTCCCTAACAAGAACGTTGCCCTGGGAGGCAGGAGACCTCGAGTCGAATCCTTGTCCTTCTCCTAATGAGCTGTGTAACCCGGGGTGAGTTAGATCTGTTCAGTACTCCCTGAGTGCCTAAATGTTGCACCACTCTTGGGGAACTCATGATCTGGTGTGGGGGAGAGATGAGAATGTAGAAAAGCAGCAATGATAGAAATATGTATTGCATGGGGTGGTAGCAGCATTTACATAACCCAGCTGGGCCTCAGTTTCTCCCTTTGGGAAATTGACTGGTCTAAGATTTTTTCCTGCCCTTACGCAGAGTGATTCTGTAGGCTGTTGCCGTGGGTTTGAACCTGCTCAGGTCTTCGGTAATCTCAGTGTTTGCTTGTGTTGAGTGAGCAGGACAGCTGAGTCTTAGAAAGCAAAGGATCCTCCAGTCCTGCGTTTTAAGGTCTAGGAGGCTCAGAACTGGGTTAGAGGATTGATCCTGCTACCTTCTATATCAGCAGTGCCTAATAGCATTACCTTGAGAGAACTCCCAAGAATCCATCTCAACTTGTGAGAGTCCTCAGAGTGTGGATGTGGAGGTTGTGGGGAGAAGAATGGAATTTGGCAGCAGAATCCATAATTCCCGTTGATGACCCGAGTCCTGAGGCCCAGGCCAGAAGCAGGGGCTTTGGTGTCCCAGGCCTGGCCTGGAAATCCAAGATGGGCGGATGTGTCAGGGGTCCCCAGGAGCACTCCCAGGTTCAGCAATTCACTAGGAGGGCTCACAGGACTCAGCATACAGCTGTCTTCGTGGCTCTCATTTATCACAGCAAAAGTACACCAAGCACCATCTGCAAAGGGAAAAGACACCTGGGTGAAGTTTGGGGGACACCAGGTGCCGGCTTCCAAGGGTCCTTCCCCAGTGGAGTCACACAGGACACACTTAATTCCCCCAGCAATGAACTGTGACAACATGTGTGAAATGTTGCCAATCAGAGTAGCTCATTAGAGATTCACTGCCCCCTGTTCTTATTGGGGGCTGGTCATGTAGGCATCTGTCAAATACCCAAAGTCTCAGGAGGAAAACAGGAGTTCACCATACACCGTATTGTTTATACAAACAGTTTTGGCACTGTGAGCCACTCTTATAATTTCTGGAAACAGTGGAAACCTTCCTGAAAACCAAGTTCCTAGACAGCAGCCAGGGCCAACCTTGTAAGCAGGCTTTTCAAAAGATAGCAGTCAGGCCTGCTTTGTCAACTCTTTCCTGCATGGGGGCTTCCCCCAAGTTCTGGCTCTGTCCTGATCCTCCTGCTAGCTTGCCTTCTGGGCCCCGCTGTGTATCCAGCTGCTGGATAAGCACATGCATGCGAACTGTCTATCTCCCCAGTCAAGGGAATGAATTTTCAGGGACAGTTCATCTTCTAAAAACCTGTCGTGAAGAATCAGCTATTTTTCTAATTGCCTCAGATATTGATTCCACTTCTTTGCAGCCGGTGTTCACCGTTCAGAATGCTGTTTGGGTCCCTTGAGGCCTGCTGGGGAAAGGAAAGGGGCTGGGTGCCTCTGGTGGCTGTTCCCCTCCTCCTCCCTCTAGCACACACGTGCTTTGGCTTGACCATTCTTAGGTTCTTAGCCAAGAGCCCTTATTCTCCTCAAGTTCTCTCTGGGAGCAAGATTCCAGTCTTCCAGTGACTGAAGGAAGGAAGGACACTGATGTGGGAGCCCACACCATCTCCACCTCTGTGCTGGCACCTCAGAACCTTATCAAGTCACTGATGGGGAAACTGAGGTCCTGATGCTGTTTCTTATTCTGGGCTGCAGGGCCAGTCTGGGGCAGGGCTGAGCCCTGGATCTGGGTTTTCTGATGCCAGCCAGCACTCTTTCCACTGAGGACGCAGATGCTGAAGTCAACGGCAAATGCCAGCGATTCTTGGAGCCCGTCACCCCTGCTCATTAACAGTGCGTAGTGTGCACTGACCGGCACTTGGGCATTTATAGAGCTCACCGCCTTCAACTTCTCACTGCTTTTGGCAATAGTGTTCTCCTATAGGAAAGTGGAATGCCTGGCAAGGAAACTAATGTGTGTTCCACTGTCACTCACCCGGGGCAGCCTGGCCTCTGACCCCCAAGGACAGGACAAGGTAGCTGCCCCAAGTCATTGCCTGTGGATAGCACAGCACAGCACAGCAGCTCCCGAAACTGCTGGCTTTACTCTCCCCTTAATGCCCTCACCCTTGACCCTGAATACTGTCGTTCACACACAGGAATCCCATTCTCCACTCCCCTACCTCCGAATCTAGGGCTGGAGATGCTACATTTACCTTTCCCTAGCCAGCCTTCCTCAGTTTCCCCAGAGTGGTCACTTGCAGCTCAAAATGAGCCCCAGGTGTGCTGGGCATCCTGGGCAGCACTGATCACTGCAAGAGCACCTGCACGTGGAGCTCTGTGTAACTTACAGCGTGTGTTACACCTGTTCTCGGCATGGAAAGAGGGATTATTAGCACTTGTAGCTCCTGGCTGTCACCAAGGTCTCCTGCTGGCTAGAGCGTGTCAGCTTTTAACTTCTCTGGTGCCGTGGAGTGGGCTCCTCCACAGGGGCTGATCCTTGCTGCCGGGTAGGCACAGGGCTCATGGGGATGTGAGAGGTATGAGGTCAGGAAATGGACAGGGCTTGTACTCTACCCTCCGGAGCTCACAGAAGGGGCTTTCCCAGGCCCGAGTTGGGGATCACTCCTGTGGTCCAGGACAGTGACCAAGGTTATAAACACTCAGTGTTAAAATCCAAACAAAGCGATTTCCAGGTTTTACCCAGTACACACTTGAGGTCTTTCATTTTTGTTTTTAAATGTTAATAGAATTGAACGTGAGCTTCCTAGCTTTCCTTCTGGTTTCAGTATGGCTTTGATAATCCTGGGGTTGAATGGTTTAACAGTAGTGCAAAACACACAAATCTCAGTTGTACAAGAAATGTCACATTTTATTTAAATTAATTCAAATCCTATTCTGAGCCCTCTTAGGTGGGAAATTCAACCCAAGTCATTATTGGGGGACCCTCTGCTTCCTTGGGGTCTCTTCAGTCTTAAGAGGCTTATGTGGTGTGGGTAAAATGAGGGAGTCCCTCTCTCCTTCAGTTCATTGTGGCCACCACTGACACATTTTTTGTCTGAGCTGCCAGCGTGTTGGAGGAGATGAGCAATTTTTCTCCTTATGAACTGATCTTGGCGATGCTGGGAGCCCTGGGGCATCTGGTCCAGCCTCTGTAGATAAACCATTGAGCCATCACCCCTGAAATTTTCCCCCCTCCCCATTGCATTGCCATGAGGGTGAGTTCAGGTCCCTCTTGATGATGACATCCCCTGACCCCTGCCTCACCCCTGGACTGAGGGAGACTAAAGTCCTAGCTACTTCCTTGGAAAAGGGGGTGGAAAAGATGAAAAGAAAATCACAAATTCATAGCTGAATAAAGAGCTGAGAGCTATGGTAGGTAGATCTCAAAGACAGCCACTGTCTATTCCTTCCCATCCCTCTATGTGTGTGTTACTCCATCTGTCAAGAGGTGGAGTCTCTTTCCCCACCCTTTATCACTTGGTTTGGCCAACAGAATGCAGCAAAAGTGACACTGTGCTGATTTTGACTCTGGGTCTGGCTTTTTAAAAGCAGCTTCTGCTTTTCTTCAGGGTAACCCAGCTGCCATGTAAAAATTCGACTATCCTGAGACCACCATGCTGGGAAGAAGCCCAAGGTAGCTAGGTGGAGAGGCCTCATGTGGAAGCCACATGAAGGGGCACCCAGGCACCATTCATGTGAGTGAAGCCTTCTTGGACGTTTCAGCCCAGGTGCCCACTGAATGAGCCCAAGCCAGTGACCCTAGCCGATGCCATATGACGCAGAACCACCACCAGCTGGTACCTGCCCAAATTCCTGACCCCCAGAATCATGAGAATTAATAAAACACATTGTTTTGAGCTGCTAAGTTTTGGGGTGGTTTGTTATGCAGCAACAGATACCTGAAACAAGGGCCTACTATGTGTCAGGTACTATTAGGCGTGTTCCATCTGTGATCTCTAAGTCTCACAACAACTCTCCAAAGAGAGAGTGACAGTTACTAAGTAATACACTATGTGTAAAGTGAGGTGTTTGTTGAGGTCAGTGAGCAGAACTCCCTAAGGGAGCCCATTTTATTACACAATCTGCCTTTGGAAGGAAAGGGCTTCATCCACCTGTTTCCCCAGCCTAGTGGAGATCCTAGTACCCTAATACATAGTACCCCAGTACTTTGAGGGATCCTGGAACCCATCCCTGGAACCAAGCATTTGGCATCTTAGCCACCTCCCCTCCAGACCCTGACATCCAGCTGGCCATACAGGGCTTCACCAGCAGCTGAGACATGGTTGCCAGGGCAACCTGCAGGAGGAGTTACTCTGACCAGGTCACAGGGTTCTCTCCACTCAGCTCCTGGGTGCTGGCTCCCAGCACTGCTGGCTGTCACATAAGGGCAGGCCTTCCCCTAACATTTTTGGGGCCTGGGGTTAGAATACAAAGAGAGACTTCCCCCCCAATCCCTTTGATTCACCCTGCTTCATCCTGCACCATGAAGGGCCTCCCTTGCATGTATATGAACAAGTACATGAACATTCCAGCCACACATTCAAGCTCTCACCCCTCCTCCCCAAATAGTTACCATTGGCCACCCCCTGGACCCAGCACATCCGTGGGGAATTGGAGCAGGGGGCTCCTGA